TACTTGAAAATGCTAAGAAACCCGCAATTGTACTGGGAGCAGATGTATTGGAAAGATCTGATGCAGCTGGAATACATTCAACAGTAGCTACGTATTGTAAGAAACTCAACAAACAGGTGGGTACATTGAATAACATTAGCAATCAACGGTCGTTTGTTTAAACTTGTGGCATTATAAGCTTTTTTTTTTTAATATTAATACTTAATATAGTTGTAGCAACAGAAAACATTCCCTGTATAACCGACGGTTAAAAAGCCTAAGGTTTTAGGCATTACATTTGCAGAGGTTTAAGGTATTTACTCCGCATATGGCAGCGATCATTGCCAAACAGGCCGAAACAAAATGTCAAGTCGCTAGCCAGGACGACCTAGTGTTATGACAAGGAAGCGTTGATTTACTTCCAAGGCAATAGGCCGGTCGGGCAGAAAATACGCAGCAGCAGTATGCTCGTCTGGATATAGCTTTAGAATAGCCAGTACACTTCGTACAATAACAGGATGCTCTTGAGGTCTCGCATCAAACACCTACACAGTGAGGTCCATATACTTCCAGTTAAGGAACACAACGAATTCCTCTTCAGGCAGACTACACAATGAGTCTCCACATCTTTTCATACCCTATGAAACCAACTCATCTAACACGCTTTTTGTGTAAAAGACTATGCTCCGAATCAAAAAAATGAAGTTATATGATGAAATAAATTTAACCCAATCCAGAAAACTATTATGACTAGAAAAGTTTAAATATAATTTCCCTGTATTTAAGATGCAAAGACTTCGGCATATCTTACTTTTAGCAAAATTCAATTTATCACAAGATGTTATTTATTTACTTCATTTTAAATTTGTGTCTGTGGGGTTTTTTTTAATTCCAGGGCTGGAATGCATTTAATGTGCTGCAAAATAATGCAGGGCAAACCGGTGCTCTGGATGTTGGATATCAGCCGGGAATACAGGCTGCACTTAAAGTACAGCCGAAAGTTCTAATACTTCTTGGAGCTGATGGTGGAAAAGTTGACCGTGAAAAATTGCCTAAAGATTGCTATGTTATTTATATAGGACATCACGGCGATAATGGTGCTTCGATTGCAGATGCTGTTCTTCCTGGAGCTGCGTATACCGAAAAGCAGGCAATATATGTGAATACAGAAGGTCGTGCTCAGCAAACATTAGCCGCTGTATCACCCCCAGGAATGGCTCGTGAGGACTGGAAGATTCTACGTGCTCTGTCAGAAATTTTAGGTGGACTTAATGTTTATTATGTATTAAAAACTTGAAATTATTTGATTTTAAATGTTTCAGGCACACCTTTGCCTTATGATAATTTGGATGATTTGAGAAATCGCATTGAAGATATAGCTCCGCACTTGGTACGTTTTGGAAAGTTGGAGTCTCCTACATTCGGCAGTTTAACTGAGCAATTGGCCGCAGTAAATTTTTTATTTTAGCTTCCTGATTTTCTGAAGGTAACAACTTTCTTTTCTAGTCCAAGTCAATTGAAAATACAAAAATAGATGTAAAACAAAAGAAATTGCGAGAATACTTCATGACGGACCCGATTTCCCGAGCGTCACCAACAATGGCTAGATGCGCGCGTGAAGTATCTGGAGAAGAAGCAAAGGAAGAGTCCCAAAGACAAGCCGCTTGTTAAATATATACGAAAATATGCAACTTTCTAATCGATACACCTTAGAACAAAAACTAATATGTATTGTTGAATATCTTCTGGCTGTATTATTTAGTAAGACGCATAATAATTCTTCAAAACTAAATACCAACAAAGTGAGGATAAACATTATAAAGGTCGTTAACGTTTGATTAAAATTATAACTAGGTAAAAAACTAAGAAGGTATAAATTATTGAATTGACAAGTTTTGCTAGTACACTTGATCATCCTGATCATTAATGACGTTCATATAGTAAATTTAAAGATGCACGGTACTGACTAAAAAAATTTCGAAAATTGGCTTCATTCTCAGAATCAGATTCATCTGTAATTTCCATTTTTATTGCCGTAGGCATTTGTGGAAAGTCTTTTGTTTCGCCGTAACTAACTTTCATATCTTCTTTGATATTCTCCTTGAATTTAATAAACTCATCCATGGAAATTTCTGCCTCGGTATCTCCTATAGCACAAACGTTCAAATTATCTTCGGATTTAGAAAAATTTTGATTTACGTCGTCCTCTTCGTCGTTCTTAAAAATTGGTTCTAAAGTTGAAGATAAATTTAACGTAGGTGAAATTTGCTGCGCAATACATGAGGGCGTTGTAGACGACGTTAAAGTACCATCTTGGTCACCAACATGGAGCTGATCGCCAAATGGTTCTTCAGTGGATAAAATAGCTTGTTGATTAGCAGTGCTGAAATATATATGTTAATTAAATGTACAAATAAAATATTTACATAATCGAACCATATTTCAGCTACAATTTTTTTTATTTCCATTGAACCATCTTCATACATTGGCAAATAATCTCCAAAAAAATGAAGGACTTGTTCTTTACTGCAGTTGCCGTAATAGCCTGCATATTCTGGGCGAAAGTCTTCTCCTAAATGTAATACCGAATCATGCGGATTCTCAAATAAATCAACGGGTAGCTCTATAACTTGTTCTTCCTCTACGGGTCCGGTACCCGAACGACTAGTCACATCAGATTTAATGCGGCGTTGTTGAGCTTGAATAGCTGCAGATTCATCAGATGCATGTAATTTGTCTTCCAAAATGCGTGTTTCATTTTGGAAACTCAAAACTGTTTGAAAGCGTAATCTGCTCTTTTGAATATTTGATAGACCTCCATGTGACATAAAACACAAGTCGCCCAACATACGGTCAGAAACCTGGCGGTTCTTATTTTCTTCAACCAAACGCTGCGATTGGTTAGTAGTCTCCACATCGTTGTTACTCTTTTGATCCATTTCTCCTAATAATTGATAAGTATGTCGTCGTATTTTCGCCAGAAGGTCTAGGCGATGACGTTGGAAATTTTCGTTTCTATACTGAAGTAGTAAATCTTCATCCGCTTCTGGCATGGCATTAAGTCTATCAAATTTAAATTGCTCGAGATGATCCAAAAAGACGGAACGATTTTTAATTTTAAAAATAGACTGAGTAGAATTTAAATAATCTTCTAGGGCTATTAAATCAAGTAGTATCACCGTTCCGTCTCGATTCCAACGTAAAAAATCACAATAATCTAAATGAACAACTAACCACAATTTGTATGGAAAAGGAAAATTTAATATATCTTGTCTTGTGACGTATGAAGACAATTCCTGTGTACATTCCATGACTGATGAAAGGAATTCCACGTTATTTTGCATTTTTTTCCAAAATGAGAAGCAAGCAAAGTTACTTTTTATTTTTCTTTATTTTTTAAATAACCTAACCGTACTATATTGAGACAAGCCAACGGAAGAGGATATATGTTACATATTTCTACAGTGCTGCAATTTCGATATAAAGTGTACATTTTCTTGAAATAAAAAAAAATAGCATTGGAGAGGGAAATTCTAAAATAAAGAAAATCAAATAACAAGTGTAGGGATTACAAAATAATATGCTGTTTTGTTCCTAGTAGTGTGTTTATAATTCTAATTAAAATTAATACTTATAATTTATTAAAAATATGAATTAAACTATTGGATATTGATTACCTAGTATTAGTGTACTAGTATATCGTCTATGTAATTTTTTTTCTGTTTTTGAACTCTTAATATGTAATTGTTTCAAATTATTATTTTCAAAAATGTTTTTTTTTATATTAGAGCAATTTCCCATAATTGTAGAAAGCATCCCGTTTTCCTGTCAAAATAGTCGACGCAGAACACTTGTAATCAAAATCGATAAAATATTTATGTCACTTTTGACAATTGCCAACCGTATGTTCGCTGTCAACCTAAGGTGAAAGAATCTAGTTATATAAAAAAGGTTTTTGCAATTTTTATTTAATTAAACCATTTTTTATTAAACTTTTGATCTTTTTAGTTGTGTTTATATATTATTATTTAATTTATCATCGCTATGGATTCATTCATATATTTCACATCTCTTGCAGAACTCGTAGTAATTAAAAATGCTTCGCTCTGTTGCTGCGCTGGTAAACAAAACATCCAAAGTGCTGGTATGCAACTCTGGATACTCCAGTACTTTATTTGTTAATCGAGCTTTCGGACCTGCTGTTAACACGATTGCAGTGCGGCAACAGCAAACAATGCCAGTGGTAGATTCGAACAGTCCACTCCCGAAAAAAAGTGCGTCACCATTTGGTAGAAATCAACCTAATATGGTGGAATGGTCGATTGCTCGTTTGGATGATCTTTTGAATTGGGGCCGCAAAGGTTCCATTTGGCCATTGACATTTGGATTGGCTTGCTGTGCTGTAGAAATGATGCATATTGCAGCTCCTCGTTATGATATGGATCGATATGGCGTTGTATTCCGTGCTTCACCGCGGCAAGCAGATGTTATAATTGTTGCAGGGACCCTTACAAACAAAATGGCACCTGCTCTCCGTAAAGTTTATGATCAAATGCCTGAGCCTCGTTGGGTTATTTCCATGGGTAGTTGTGCTAACGGTGGTGGATACTATCATTATTCGTACTCAGTTGTGCGAGGTTGCGATCGTATTATACCAGTGGATATTTATGTTCCGGGATGTCCACCAACTGCTGAGGCTCTTATGTACGGCGTTCTTCAGTTACAGAAAAAAGTAAAACGAATGAAAACGTTACAAATGTGGTACAGAAAGTAGGTCAGTGTAACTTAAATTTCACCCTAGACCATAATATTTAAGAAAAATCACAAGATGTATGCAGTGGTATGAGTACAATTCTACGTAATATATACTATATTAATTAATCTTGTGTGTGATATCAAAAATAAAACCGAGTTTCAACTTATGAATATTTACATTATTGCGTTAACAAACTGTTAAAAGTATATATATATTTGTTAAATTAACTGACGCTATCCAATTAGCTATAACAGAACTGCTTGAATTAAACTAATAAGCAAAATCAAAGTTTATTCACTTTCATCTTAAAAAACTAAACATTAAAAAAGTTTACAAAGACTTAAACTTTAGATCTGCAACTAGGGCCACATGGTCCGAGGGGAAAACCACAGATGGTATAGCTGTATGACATTTCAGTTCTTCTTCCGTAGGCAGAGGTACCACCTGTAACTCAAATTATTTAGCATTTAAAAACTGTCAGGGGATATTAAAAATACCTGATGAATATCTAAGCAATCACTTTGATAAAATATATAATCCAGGCAGGCTGCAAATGTATGTGTAAAGTTCGTGTAAGGAGGTGTACCACATGCAGATTTTATTTGAAAAGGTTGAGAAAGGGACACATTTTGTACTGCCTCTTCGATATCTGAAATGAAATGGAATCAGACACATTATTGTCAACATTCTCTCGTATTAAAATGAATTCTAGTACTGCTTATCCAATCCATGCATCCTTTCCCCACGTTTCCTTCCAACATTAATTTATAAATGCCACATTCCGGAACGCTGTTGAAATCACCGCAAAATAGTAATGACAGCTCTCGCCGATCAGACAAATTTAGCTTAGTTATAATATCTTCATATATGTGTTCGATGTACAACATTGCAAAACCCATTTGTAACAGTCTAATATGATCCGCATCGGGATGGAAATAAAGGTGCGTATTCGCAACTAACAAATAACGCCCGCTTTCCTTACACTTTAGCACCAATAACTTTAAGAAAATATAGTTCAACAAAATATTGAATTTGCATTTCAAAATCAATTTCATATGTATGTATATACCTGAAGTGTTGTAGACCTATCGCAAATTCGCTCCACAAGTTTCGTGTTATTTTTTATTTGTGTCCATAATTCCGCAAACTGTGGGAGAGTACGAATATTTTCCCCAATATTTAGTTCATATTTATAAACCAAATTAAAACGGGATGTCAAGTAAAATATAGCTACACCCTCTCCACATGTGCCTTTCTGAGCAATAACACCATGGTAACCAAATTCTTCAGAATCAAAGATATTTTTCAGATCTAAATCAAATATTTTTAAATCTACTTCCTGCAAACAAATAATGTCAGCATTGTAACCAATTATTTCCTTCAAGTATAATTGCTTGCGGTAGTCGATTTTTAACGCATATGGTGGGCAGTAAGGAAAAAGATGCGTTCGCGTATAATCACTGTCGGCATATAGATCAGCTAAAATATTATACGAAACCACTCGAATATAATCACCTCTCAATCTATTTTTGGTACACAAGTGCCTTGTCTCAAATGGGCAGTGGCCCGGTCCTGCCTGTACTTCATTTTTAGTAATATGTTCAACTTGTGGGCCGCATTGACCAGCTTCGTTGCTAGGTGTTAACTGAAACTTTAAAAAGTATCCTATATCCTTAACACTCGTATCATAATGGAAACCATTACCGCACTCTATCCATTCAGCTCCCCGAAGTAAATCTCCGCTAGATGGCTGTTTCAATAGAAAATATGTTAAATTAATTTGGTCAAAATTAGATTTAAGAAACAAAAATTACCTTTTTTGCTTTATACCATTTTCCAATAATGTGTTTACGATTCGCAAACTGTAATTCCACTTTGCTAGGGTATACTCTAAAGCCTGCTAGTATATTTGTCGGTAAAGTTAAATTTAAAACCCAAGGAAAGTTGTATACTATTTCATAACTTTTATCCATCACAAGTAATTTCAAGTCATTACTTTTGGTTTCCAGTAGTTTTTCAAAAGTCATATTTTCAACTTTTTTACATAATTCAGAACGAACAATTTCTACAAGAATCTGAATGAAATTCATATTAAATTATATTAATAACAATTATGATAACATACCTTATCGTAATTGTTTGTTATTGGTTCTTGTGTCTGGGACAAGCTTTTCTTTTTGCCCTTTTTCGATTTTTTACTCAATTCCTTTTCTATATTATTCCGTATACGTAAAAGTGCATCTTCTATATTTTCAGTAATTTTTCGACAAAAGTTAAACTCTCTATCCACTCGTACGTCGTCATTAGTAAACCTAAAGTTGATATGAAGATCTTGACTAGATCCATCATGACGCAAATATACCTTATCCATTTCGTATTTAATTCGATGAGAATATGCTGTGCGGTAAGTTGAATACCAAAGTAAATTCCAATTACGGTTTAAGTGCAGATGCAATGAGCAGGTGACAATTTTTTTTAGCCCAGTTATGGGATAAATCAAACCGATTCTCAAGTTGGAAATTGTTGACAGCATTGAGCATTAACTCAATATGGCACATATGAAAGATCAACGCTGATATGCACAATAATGTATGAAATAAACATAAATATATAACTAAATTTTATAAAACATGTGGTACATATGTATATATAATATGAAATGCGTCTAAAAGGTTTTATGTCACTTCAGGTCGACATAAAATAATAACAATAACCGATATACAAGTACAGCTTTAGGGAGCAATCGATATAATTCGATAATTATATTTCAAATACTTCAAATAAAAAAATTATGTGCATTAGAAATTTTTTCCATTACGTTCTTCAAAATATAATGCTTATTTTGTTATCTCTAGTAGAGATATTGGGAAAAAGAAGTGAATGAAAAACATGAAACCTTTGGAGCGAAACGCTAGCGGAACTATTGCTGGAGTTATGATAGAAAGAAAATTACCTGTTAAAAACTTCGAAAAATTGTCATATATTAAATCAAAATTCACAATTATGCGTATTTATTTATTTAGGTGTCGTAGTGTTTTAAAAACGAATAATATCTGCAAAATTTGTTAATGCAAATATGTTAAACAGCAATCACTGTATACAGAGATGTGAGTTTGTTTCATTTCGTTCCCATGACAATCATGCATACGTATCCGAAACGGTCTTGGATATATATCCGGCTAAATAGTGTTAACTCGCCAGCATTCTTCAAAATTATTGGCGGAATGTTATCTAGCGCTACAACATGAGTATCTTGTTTTTCACACACAGGTGTTAAAATAAGAAAGATTTGATAGAATAAATTTAAATAGCTTGCTTGTGCTTCGTAGTTCCGTTTAATATGAAGTTATCTTTATTAAAATACAAATATTCGATTTATTATGTTACCACTTCGACATCAATAGTTCCATTAACACTGGCCTACCAACTTTTGTGAATATGTTGATGCAATAATAAATTGGTAGTCGAGTATTTTCTCGATTATTTTCCGTTAATACTAAGATGTGACTACGAGTTCCTAATTTTGATCATAATATAGGATAAATGATTTCATTTCATCTAAATAAATTACACACATTTAAGTGCAGCTAAATATGAGTATAGCATTGACATAAATTAAAAGAATCGCTTCTTTTTACTCACGAATAATATATAATATTAACTAATCATTCTTCATTCAAATCATATTCCGACTTCCCAAAGTAGGAAGACTGGCCGTGAAAATATCCCGTGGTGCTACTTCTAATCACTAGCCACGACCTATTGTTCCCACTCCAGTCGGGTCTACGTAACCGGAAGGGACCCTGATTTTTATCCGACCAAGGACTTTCAACTCTGCAGAATTCTGACGCTACAACTACAACAATAACCTATAGCCGTACTGGCGTAGACAGCACTTACGCGGGTATAGCCGAGTTAACAACCGCGCGCTACTCGTTTTTTTTCTTCGCTATTCGGCGCCAATTGGAGATATCAAGTTCCTGGTCCTTTACCACCTGATCTCTACAACGGAGTTGCTTCCACCGGCGGGTACTGAATCAAATACTTTCAAAGCGGGATCATTCTCATCCGGACAACATGACCTAGCCAACGTAGCCGCTGTCTCTTAATTCGCTGAACAAAGTATATCTCATACAGCTCATCGTTCCATTGACTTTATGTAAATTTATTTATTTTTTCTGATGCTACAACAACAACCTATAGCATATGTACAATTAATCAAAGATTGCATATTATTAAAATAAAACTAAGCAATAACAACACAAAATCACAAAGTTAAATACGAATAGCCTTATTGTGAGTCTCCAGACTGTAATGCAACTAAGTAATCAGTTGCAATAGTTAATTTGCATAGTCTATTCCGCAATATGTGCATGCATATTAATCATAGTAGTGTCCGAGGACAACATCCCAAACACAACCATTTTTCATTTACACTAACTAAGCAAATGTATTTTTTATTTAAATTTCAGTTTATTTTAATTATAATTACAGATTTAAATATGAGTTGAGATGTTTTAAATTTTTATTTCTTTTACGTTACATCCACCGTTCCCATTTTTTTCTGATTTCATACTATTTATTATATTTAGGTATTCAGCTGTTTTTACATTTAATTTTGGCTTCTAAACACAATTGCGTATTGTTAATCAGATGTAAAAATAAAACACATTACACATACACCTCTCCTGAGTCCAGGATCCCCGTATTATAACTAAAATTGTATTTCTATTTTATTTCTGCATTCAATGCTAGAAAATATGGAAATATTATGATTTGAATGCGTTATTGAGGGTATCAGAGAGTGATTGTAATAATACAAATGATAGTTAAAGTAAAAAAAAATGACATTATAGCAATAATGGAAGAAGGAAGGATAAAGTACGTTTTATCTATTTTTATTTCTATTATAAATTTTATTAAATCAGTTCTAAGATTTGAAATAATACCGAAAATAATAATAGGAGGAAAAGGATTACAAAATATATCCACGGCAGGTTTGCGGCATTACATAGGTACATATGCTGCACTGTAGAATCCAAAGGAAAATTAACAAATACAGCGTAAATTTTGTAGGCGGTACTTTCGAGTACGGGTAAATACGAACGACACAATACTCAATATTTCTTCAAAACATACAAAAATACGTTTAAAAATGTTTAAAGCTCAATTTAATACAGTATAACTTTAAATAAAAAATAAAACAAAATAAAAAAAAAAAAACAATTAACATACGTGTATGAAACAATAATTGAAAATATATATTTCAATTATTTTATAAAAATGACAAAATAGGATTACGTAAAACATTATATATTATAAGTTTAGGAGTCACTGATGCTTCTAAATATATTTTTGTATTATTTCGTCTTCGTTAATAATTCTGTATGAGCTTTAAATAGGATACACTCAATATATAAGTATTCTTTGTTCATAAATGTATAGAAGTTAACATATAAAGTAAATTTATTATAATTTTATCATACAAAGAAATATATTCTACACAAGCTAGTGTACGCAATAAAATGTAAATTGCAATTATAACCAGTTTTAACTCATAGGTATGTTTTCTTTAAATAAATAACATTAGATAGAATAAAAATAAATGTGTGCGTTTTATTTGACAATATTTTAAATATATTTTTTGCGATTGTTTTCAGTGTTATGTGTGCGTTTGTAAAAGTTGAGTAAATATTAAATTTTTGGTAAAATCGGTTGAATAATTTATTAAATTGCTTAGCATTTATGCCACAGTGTTTGTACAATTTGTTATGTTATATCTTAAAATAGGTAATTTTTTTGTGCTTAAAAGTCGATTTGTAGCTCATACCAAAGTTTTTCATATGTATACATGAATGATTGAAAACGAGTCAAGTAACTGAATTGGGCAACGAAATACGTAAAGAGAATAGATACATAACAAAATCTAAATCGTATGTATTACTACTGTACCCTTTTGCCTATATTTAAAGTTTTGAAATAATAAAATGCAATACGGTACTTGCGCCAAGTGCAACTACTTTGTACGTATATGTATGTTTTGTATTTATGTATGTATGTGGTTCAGTGTAGCAATTTTATGAACACATCAAAGTATGTCAGCACAAGTACGGGGACTAAAAATTTTGAAAATTTTTTAAAGACGCATTTCCATATGGTAGATATAAATGTTTTTCATGTTAAGTGAAATCCTAACTTCTTATAAAGATGTGGTAACATTACATTATTGACATGTGACCATGCTGTTGTTTTGACAAAGGTTTCGCACGTTTAATGTTTCATCTTCAATTTTCAATTTTATATTTGCCGTTTCTGCATCCCCTACATTTACAAATCACAGCAAGCCCAAACAAAAAAAAAAAAAAATTTATATATACATATATATTCATATTTTTCGATAATGCATTTCCTTTCATCTTTCTTTGCCTTCATATTATATTAATAAAAGATGTTTTCTCCCTTTGTACGAGTAACATAGTCAATTAAACATCAATTCTCTTCTGATTTTTATTAAATATCCCCTCGTACCGCGATGAAATGGAAATGTAAGAGAGGTCATATATATGTATTCAGTACATGTATGCATGTATATTAGTCTGATTCTTTTTTATATCAATGCTTTTATGGTGCTAATTTGTTATTATTATTTTTTATTACCGATGTTAATAATCCTTTTTTTTACCGGTTATCCTTCTTCATCATTTTTTATAATTTTTCTTCTAATACTTTAAATTAATTTTGTTCTCGCACAATTATGTGACACACATATATTTTATTTTAGCGGTAAGAACGGCGTAATGTTTCTACGGCTGATACCGCTACTGTTTATATTTTAATATACAAATTATTTTACGATCATTAATTTAAATTTAGTTTTCCTCCTATCTTTCTCATTATTATTACGTTTTGTGTATGTAAGTATGATTTTCGCTGCTGCTACATAGCTTATAGGGCCATATATAAAATTTATTCGTTTACTTTTTTATTATTTTCTGAATCATTTTATAATTTTGAGTTGTATATAAATTAGGGCTTAAACTTAATAAGAAAATGTTTATATCTTATTGGGTTGCATTCCAAGTATTATTTACTATACTTCTACAATTTTTTACCCCTTATAATATTTCGACTTAATTTTCTTGCTGTGGTTTTGTAAATGCGTTTTCAACAGATTTCGCTGTGATTTAACTCAGTTAAAGCCTTCGCTTTTATCAGGGCTTCTGTGCTTTGTTTCTCTGATATTCAGTTACATACATATATTCAGTATTATTTTACTGTGACATCATAATCATAATCTTAAATTTTTTTTTGTTTTGTCTCTGCAAATTTTTACTTAATGGCTTTGTTTTTGTTGCTTTTGGTTCATTTTTCTCATTAATTTATCGGTCTCGTTACTTTATATCAGTTTTACATTACTTTTAACTTATATGATTTTATGTATATAATTTATATAAATAATTTGTTTAATGTAAGCTTGTATATAAATCGTATGTGTGTGTCAGCATATGCTTCCGTCTTATGTCCAGTGTCCCCTGTCCCGTGACCCTTTCCCGGGTTTTCGATAGTTCGAGTGTTTATATATTTTTGTTTGCGTGTATACTAGTGAATGTTGTGTGTATTGTATGTAAATTTTTAAATATACTGCCGAAAATGGAGGATAATGGGGAGTTACAGCGTGGGAAGTGGCCGTATTACGATGGTGCACGTTAGTCGATCACTAGGTGAGTTGTGGAAAGCGAATGCAATTTAAGCTGTAACTCACTATCGCTATATTCCTCTCTTCATATTCTTATCCCACTCCGTCCGCACTTGCATCCACAAATCTTCCACTTATGGCGGGGTAACGTACAATCGCAAACGCTTTAATTCCACACACGCAAAAACGAATCCCATGATCCCGTTGCAACAGCCATGCCATTTTCGGTCACACCAAGACATGAGACACGATTATCATGACCTGCTAAAATTCCGGATCGCTCTGCTTTCATTGTATCCCATACATTGCAATTGAAATCATCGTAACCCGCTAACAGCAAGCGACCGCTCTTCGAGAACGCCACTGATGTGATACCGCAGATAATGTTGTCGTGCGAATACATTGCCAACTCCTGGTCTGCGCGAATATCGAAAAGGCGGCACGTGGCATCATCAGAACCTGTTGCAAATGCTTGTCCATTAGGGAAAAATGTCACTGCGTTGATGTCAGATTCGTGTCCCGGAAATGTTTGTTTACATACACCTTCACGGATATCCCATAATTTTGCTGAAGCATCACAAGCACCAGACACAAATGTTTTGCATCCTGGCGCCAGAGATAACGCCATTACATCGCCAGTATGTCCTAAGAATGAGGTTACTTGTTGGCCTGTCTCGATGTCCCAGAGGCCACAAGTCATATCGCCAGAGCTGGTAACAATCTGATTGTCATCCAGAAAACGACAGCATGACAAATATCCACCGTGGCCAGGTAACTCACGTGAGACGCGCACATTTCCCTCACGCGTCTTCAAGTTGTAGATTGAACACATATTGTCAAGGCCTCCACAGGCGACATAACTTCCCGAAGGTGCATATGCGCACGTCATCACCCAAGAGGACCGCAAAGGTATAGCATGCACCTTATTGGTGGTGTGTGAATCCCAGACGATCAATTTGCCATCCTGTGATGCCGAAACCAAATTGCGCGAATCACTACCCCAATGCATAGCGTAAATCTTTGCCAAATGACCTCGCAAAGTACGCCGTGTGCGCATCTGAATACGGCCTATTGGTTCCAATGTGGCAGCGGCTTGCACTAAACTTGTGTCACATGCAGCCTTACGTGCATCTCGTATGGCATTTTTAAGAGATTCGGCTTCTTGTCTTAAGCTATCTAATTCATTCATTTCGGCGATGTTGCTATTGCAATTGATACAATAAAATTTTGTTACCTTTTAATATTTTGAAGCTCCTTTATGTATGTATGTATAGTAGAATTAAGATTTATATAAAATTATGTTAATTATTAAATATATATGCATATATGTACAGTAAATTTCTTTTCTTTTTTTAAATAACAACGTTAATACTTTTCTTTATCTCTTCTAATAAGTCTGTGTCATAAAATGTACCTAAGTAATTTATCCACTGGCGATACAAGAAGGATGAATTAAGGGTGCGGTTTTGTCTCCTCTGCTAATCGAGTGTAAATTAAAGCGATTCCAGTTTTCCTTGATGTAGTATAGTTATTGGTACAATATTATATGTGGATTTAAATGAAAATTTGTGCGTTCCAATACTTGTGCTTCAATTATTAATTTCGTGTTGCGGTCTTTGGTTTTTTATGTCGCTCTTATCCAAATACTTTGCCTTCCCTACGCTCGATTATTTTTGCTGCTGTATGTATATATATATATGAACCTTCTATAATTTTCATTCGGGTAATGGTATGGCGGTGAATAATTTTTTCACAAGTTAAACGGATTAATCAGAGCGCAGAACAACTTTATACCTTCAATTAAACGACTTTAACCAGAACGTACCTCTGCTTTATTTACAGTTCACTTTTACAATTTTTAACCGATTTTTCTACTGACAAATTGGACAATTTTTATTATTCGCTTCGTTCTCTTCTGCTTAGCTCTACTTTTTTGGTACACCAAAATCGCTTTTAATTCGCACCACCAATAGGGGAGCTTTATGGAGAACGAAGGCAGCGACAGCAGCAGCGACACAAAGCAGCAATATACATACGTATTTGGCACAGAGGACGAACGACAGCACGATAATGCGAGAAGCAGTTCAGCAGAGCACAATATAGTGCCGTCGCAGAAACACCGAATAAGTTGAACGAAAATTTAACGAATCCGAATGTAAACGGTTGTCGCAGTCATACCAGTTATATTCAGAAGTCCGGATCAACGTATGCAAAAGTGCAAAAGAGAGGAAAATATTGAGAAAAGAAAAATCAATTTTAGATATTTTCTCGAATCAGCACATTCATTGCGCTGCTCCTTTTAATGCGGAGCATTTACTCTACACTATGAGGTGCTTCTTCTTTCATTAACACTAGCCAATATTACTAATTTTTCATGGAATTTTTTTCTTACATTTTCCCTTAGCTCTTCACTGCACTATAAAACATGCGAATCGAAATTCACTGTATTTTAAATATCTGTTGAATTCAGATTTGTCTTTTTGTCACCTAGTATATAACACTGCATTCAGTTTTCAAAAATCCCTACTACAATGAATTTTCACATTCAACTAACTCGAACCCAACTTCTACTACTGATTTAAGTTTGCTACTTGCTGAAAGAGAGCGGCACTAATCAAAATTCTCTGCTTCTGCCTCTGCATCTGCCTCTAACTCTGCCACTACCGCTGCTACTTCAGCTGCAAGTATGACAATTCGGCCAACACCTATCACGAAGTAGACATCCAGCGTTACCAGAATATTTTCCAGAGACCGACCACTATTGCCGACTCTCAAACAACTAAAAACAACTAGGGCTCTCTTCAAGCCAATAATTAAAAAGAAGAAGAGAAACAGTATAGTAAGCGGTTATATTGAAATAGAGCTGTTAAAAGGACGACTATGTGATGTAAAATTACAATTAGTTTTAATGGTAAAACCATTGAGTTGGCAGCATTCTCGACGTCATAGAATGACGGCTGCGTCATATTTTAACCACATTTAAATTAAACACAGGATGACACAGAGACCACATCCTATATCAGAGAACGTATATTATATACATGATATTTCTGGACCTTCTGTATAATTTACGATCTCTGAAATTTTCTTGGTGCTGCCAACCGAGAAACTGAAGATTGATAGATAATTAAAGAGCTGAAAAATTGTAAACGAAAAATCAAAACAATTCAATTAATATCTATGGTTGCTGAGGAGGTTTCAAATATTATGAACACCGTATTTGTGCGCAGTTGATAAAACACAAATGGCTGAAGAGGAGCAAAATGATTCTAAAATATAATTTCACTCAAGAAGTATATTCCTAGAGATAGTAGATTGTATATACTCTTTATGTTCGAAACACTTCGCGCTGTCCCTTAACTTTATTTTTACTGTTTCCAATTTTGTATTGTATTTGTACAAAATATCTGATTAAATTATGCATATGATGTTCAACCTGAAATGCTTGGTGGTACCAGTAATAATTCTGATATTCTAGTCAACCCCACTGGCACACTTCAACCAAACTGTATATCGACATAATTGTCGACAGTTTATACTGTACCTAAAAGATTTTTAAAGCAGCACACAACAATAAAATCATTATTTACATGAATTGTGTTTATTAAAATTTAACTTTGTACACGTACAAAATAATCAAGTTACGTGTAACATTTTACAAACTTTTATATTAGCAAAATAAAATCGAGTCATCGCATACAGTCAGCCATTATCAGTGCCACTATTAAAGCCCCTTCATCAGTTACAATACACTTACTATACTGCACCCGCCAGTGCAGCAAAATAATGTATTCATTTTAATATATTTCTTATAATTTCTCCCTATTATATTCTATTTTAAATCTGTATAAATAAGTTGTTATCCAATCGAAATTAACCCAAAAAATGCAGGACAGTAAATGTGTCAACAAGAGGTTTTCCTTCCAACAATTATTATACTGAAACTGAATAATTCGTCTCAGAATATACTTGGTAAGCATTATCTATAAATGAATAAAAGGAAACGAAATCAATTAGTTTTCTTTATACATTGTATATAGTAGTAGGTGAAATAAATAAATAAATAATATTTGCTCCTAGCAGGTATTCGGTATTAGTGTAAAAGTTTATAAACAAAATACATTTTTTCCATAAATATATTTTAACAGTATATTTTTTGTGTTATTTCACCTGGAATCAAAATCTAATATGAGTTCAAGACAGTCTTAACACGTTTCTCAGAGTGATGATCACCTAAGTTCATTAAAAATGCTTAGCAATACTCTTACATACAATTTTTTTTTTGCTGTGTATTTACGTTCGTAATTCTAAATTATTTTATTTTATTCCTAACCTGATTAATTCATCATAACGATCCTCTTCTACCTTTCTTATTTCTAATATTATTTCTATTTATAACTTTCATTTTTTATCATGAAGGCACTTCTCTTTGTCATCTTAATATAAATGTAGAAAAAATTAGCTATGTAACGGAACTCAATTCTCCAGTACTAAAATTGTCCACTTTTATTTAAGTCAGCTTGGAAAGGTTCCACGTCTTTCAGATATATAAACATATAAACAAATCCAAATCTCGTTTTCGAGAAACGTTTTCCTTTATTGATTTTTACCTGTAGTATTTTGTTGTTATCCCATATTTTGAAAATCTATTAGTTTCAGTTCAAATGTAGTATTTTATTCCAATAAAAAGAACTTAACAAATTTGTACCAATACCTCAATTTTAACCTAGCATGACATTAGCGGTTGTTTTGTTAGCACAAAAATATTATTGGCAAAAATATATCATTTTCAAAGAACAAAAAGCCTTATTTTTTTAATAATACTATGCAAAAAATATGAACTTAATAGTTAGGGAATAAAGAGGTATTGTTAGTTCTTTCAACCGTTAATAAACATGTGATTTAAATTTACCCTCCCAAAGGTCCTGGAAAATATTTAGTCATCATCCCTCATGTACTCTTTCTCGAGCTCGTTGAGCAAAAAATCATTGATATCGCTAACTGAACTGATAACATTAACTGAAATAAATAATAAATAAATATATACATGAATTGTAGGACTGTGTATTGATGCGTTCTCGTATGTATGTATATATAAAGAATTGTTTCCGTAACTAATTAGTATTTTTTTGTTGCAGGGGTTATCCTCCTTTTTGGCAGAAAAGTAAGTTAATTGTCATACAAGTCATCTAACGGTAGGTCTACGAAATGAGCTGTTTCTTTCTGACCTATTATGTCAATTATTGCTAATTAATATAAGAAAAATTATAATACGAATAAATTAAAATATTTTTCTATTAAAGACAGTAGGTGTATAGTATATACTATAAGCAAACGGTGCATATTTGACCTAATCGTAGTATTTAAAACGAGCAAAGACCAAAAGAGTAGCCGAGAACATTTTATAAAAACATATAATCAATACAATCCCACAACGTACGACTTCCGACCTGCGAAAATGCAACTGCCGACTTTTCAACCATGCCTGTTAAACCAATCAATCCTGTTAAACATGTGACACATAAACCTCCATAAAAATAACAGTATAATTAACATCAAGTCAATGAACAACTAAACAAAATGCGACGCGAACAAACCTCAAAAGAGTAGTTAATGGTAATAATAGCTGAACTCTACTAACACTGGGCCCAATGTGATAGCCCTTGTATTTTATTCTGGGCCGTAAAATAATTTTGGTTTTTGAGCTTTTCAAATAGTTTTTACTAATTTAAGGAGGGATATATATTAGGGCTGTTAAAATAATTTGAATAACATGAAAACGGATTATTTGAAAATCCGGTTTGTAAAAGTTTCTATGAATATTGGCATTGCGACTATTCGAATAGTTGCTCTGCTGCGAGTATTTGAATAAATGAAAATTGTTTGAAATCCAAGTAGCCTTTGATTTTTGCTTGTTTTAAATATGTGAAAATGCTAATTATGCGCGTATATACTCCAAATTTCCTATAAACTTATACATATATATAATAAATAAATGTTCTATAAACTTATATAGAAAATGAATGAACGCCTACTATTCGAATAGTTGACAACGAACGGTTAACCGGATAGTCGAAAATGAGTCGACGACTTACGACTATCCAATGCTGCAAACCGAATATTATTATTCGAATAATGCCCTATCCGGTTAGTCGAATACCAAGAGCGTTAATATATATGTATGCTATATCTGTACGGTATAAATATGCTGTATCTACTAAGATATTATTTACACGTGATCTGATGTTACGGTATTAAATATAAACAAAATATCATAAGCAAGATCGCAAAACAAATGAAAGGATTTTAATGACTAACTACAGATGAATGATATAAAGTCCGCAAAGAATATAACGTTTGTGAAATTTTTGTGTTATAAATCTTTCCCACTAAATTTCTTTCATCCTTAAAGTATTCAAAATTATTGCACTGTAATATTCATAGCTACCATCCAAACTGACCGATCACAATCAAGATAATCTTCACAGAGATACTTTTCAGATTTAGTTATACGTATAGTTGCTGTAAGAAAAGCATCTGTGAAGGGTATTATAACTTCGGTGTAGCTGAAGTTTTCGTTTTTTCTTGCTTTTAATATCATCAGTTTATTTTATTTTTTAATAAATCAATCAAGCATCAATGAAGACATTGAAACAATACTGGTCGAAATCCATACCGCTTTAGCCTCGATAAATATTTGATAAATTATATTAAGTCGGCATGTTTTCCCGACTACAATATGCTAATTAGTATCAAAAATTAATAACAATCTTTCCATATTTTGTGTAGGGTAAACTTTGTTTTATTTGTGTAGGGTATTAAAGCTTTGGTACAACCGAAATTAACGTTTTTTTTTATTGTTTATGATTTCTTTTTTGCATTCACCTGGAAATATTTCGCATGTACTTCTTTATTTGTAACTACTTTGCTTTTTCTTGAAATTGAATTCGAAGCTAGAGTTGAGAAAATATTGCGTTAAAATTATTAAACTTAAGAATTACGAAAAATTAAATCTTAAGTAGTCTGACTGCGTAAGAGTCACTAACTTCAAATAAAAATGTTGTTAAATACATAAATAAAGTCTGCGCGTCTACAGCTATCAAAAACTTTATGGCAAGTTTTAAGTGTTCATGCTAATTGAGCGGGTTAGATTAGTTAAATGCTTTTAATACGAACCTGTATTATAGCTTGATGATTTCGGTAAATTAACAACATCACGACGGAAAGAAGAAAGATTTTGCGTAAATCTAAAACTCGAACAAATTAATAACAACATATATTAAAATTAAAATACAAATCACACACTTCTCTTTATTTTTGCTAGAAACGTTGCGTTCTATCCCGACCATAAGATCATCAAACCACTGTGCCATTGTTTGTTGTTTATCCAATGGTTGCGAACGGATTATGTTATCTTTCAAAGATCTGTAATAAAATTAATTTAATCTACAGCGATAAATATGCGTACTAGATGAATGGCAGGTACCTAAAATAGTCTTCATATAGGAGAATGAGTACCAAAAGAGGGCGTGACATCGACCACTGATTCCTACAATCTTCCGCCATAACATTATTCAACAATGTGGACATCATGTTTTGCAATAAATCTGAGTTCATCTCCACTACCTGAAGACAGTTGAGATTTTATAGAAACTAAAATAATTTCTTAACAGGGATTAGCAAGTACCTCAAGGAACTGTACATTTTCGGGAGTTATATTTCGTAACTTCTTGTTTGGGAATGTTGAAACTAATAATAGAAACAAATATATTTTAGAAATTCTTATTTGAAACCAAAATCCATACGTACCTTTTAATTGCAATTGTTTAAAGATATATGATACGATACTGTCTAATATGGAACAACAGCTGATATAAATTGTCGAATCTAATTTATACATAATAATTGTTACTCCTAATATTTTAAATAATTTTGTATGGTTCTTCTTACCCAAAGCGGAAAGCCCTTTCGAAAGGCTTTCTAATATGTAAACGAATGCTCGCGGTTCCAAACCTGCCAAAAAGGTTATATGATCCTGTGACAAACAGTTGAGCAGACCATAATATGCCGAAGACAATTTTGGGTATTCCTAATCATAATAAATACCGTCGAATAAAATATTTAATGTGTAAACAATAAAAATACGAACCAATAAATCGTTTTGCTGTATAGACATAATAAGCTTCGCAGCAATATTTAGGACATTATCAAGTGTGTCATCACCGTATAGTTTAAATACGCCAAAATTTACATAATTACCACCTAAGGCATTTTTAAGGATTAAAAAACAAATTGAAATGCCTTTTAAACGCATCGGATACTGTTGATCTCGAGGGACATCTAGATGCAATATTCGATTGCCGTAAATGCAAATTAGTTTAGACGCTTCCCGGAATAACAAAATTCCCATTGGACTGGATACATTGCCTTGCAGGCGTTGAGTGCGGCAATGCACAAGCTCGGCGAACAACTTCAGTACTGGAGTTGTAACAGCTGGGTCATGGGCCCACAACTCTACCGCGCGTATTAAGATAGGCAAATAATCGGCGTAATAACTTAAAAGAAAGGACAACAAATATTATTCACATTTTCTCTTTACATTTTGAATAAGGTAATACTGAAATACTTGAGACCGTAAATAAGATACTTACAGCCATTCAAAAAGCATTGTGTATGGTATACGTGCATTTAAAGGTTGAGCTAGACCGCGCAAATCTCGAGCTAAACCAATAATTGCCTTCTTAGCTTCCTCGTTGGGGAAACTATTAGAATCCATTAACACTGTGCCCAGAGACTCAAACTGATCTGTAAATGTTTGATAACGCCAATAACAATTAATAATTGGAATTGATTTACGCAAAATATGTATTAAATGCAATATAGTTATCCACAATAGTTATATTTAATTCAACACTGGCACCGATTTAGTTAATAAATATATTATTTTACAATTACTTGTTAGAGGCGTTAAAAAGTTGTAGAAACGTTCCTCGTCTTCCCCTAAATCGAACATAAGCAAACGCCCAAGCGACGTGTAGAACATTGTGCGGCAACGCATTTCCGATAGAGATGAATTGGTGCCCAAAAATGGAAAATGTTCACTCTAGCAAATGTTTAAGTTTAATGAATGTTATAAGAAAGTCTTGCATAATATAAATGATACATCTACTGACCGTGTGGTGGGTTAACATGAATTGCACCTCCTCCAGTTTTGCTAGTTTTCTAACAGAGTTAAAATGCACTGATAGATCCGAAAGCAACATTAGTGTCTTAGTTATGATTTGTTCAGAGTGGCCCCAAAACTTAAGATTAGTTATACTGCAATGCAAGTTGGAAATTGTCTCGATTTAATTTTAATTATAAATCGTTAAAAAAACATTATCTTTTTTATTCTTTTTTCCCTTTTTTATACCCTGAACAGGGTATATTAAATTTAACACGAAGTTTGTAACACCAAGAAGGTAATGTCGGAGACCATTAGAGGTATATATATAAATGATTAGCAGGACGAACTGAGTCGATTTAGCCATGTCCGTCTGTCTGTATACATGCGAACTAGTCCCTCGGTTTATGAGATATCGATTCGAAACTTTGCACACGTCCTTTTCTCCCCAAGATGGTGCTCATTTGTCGGAACCGCCGATATCGGATTACTATAGCATATAGCTGAATTAAACTGAACGATCAAAAGCATGTCCTTGTATGAAAAACTTCTATATTTGACGAAATCTCTGCGCGAAACTAGGCACATATTATTGTTTAGAGCAAAGGTATAATCTCCGAAGAAATTGTCGACTTGTGGGCTTGTTGGACTACTATAGCATATAGCTGTCATACAAATTGATTGATAAAAATTTAGCTCTTGTGTTAAAAGCTTTTTTATTTAACAAGACATCTTTACGAAATTTTTCGTAATTCTCGACATCAACTCGGCAGAATTCTGCCGCTACAGCAACAAAATTTGGCACGGAATATTTTCCAAGGCAACGGTACAATTTTCAAAGAAACTGTTTAGCTCGGAAAACTATAGCAGCAATCAAATTTTTGTATTGAAGGGTATTATAGCTTCCGTGCAACCGAAATTAACTGTTTTTTCTTATTTGTCAATAGTTTGAGGCTTGTGAATTTAAAAACGAAAGGTTATGGATATAAGCTACAAAATTCACTACATAAACATGTACACACGAGGATAATTGCTTAAAAAGATCTGTTAACCATACTAAATTGCTCAGTTACCCTTTTTAAATATTTAGTAACGATATTATTATTATATATATTTATAATTAATTTTTTGTTTCGAATAAAATTTAGTGTTGTTGCCCTATCGGATTTAAACGGACAGATATATAAAAGAGTTAGTATATTTTACCCACATTTTGCGATTAATAAAACTTAAGAGCATTTGTTCATCATTTAAACCACAAACTTCACTCAGTCGTTTGTAAACATTTGCTTTTTGTGTTTGGTCACTGATGTGCATTTTGCGTACTTGTTCCAAAAAACTTAAAATGGCCAGTTCGAGTTTCTCACAGCCTGCTTGTGGTAAACGCGCGTCCGTTAAACTCATTAATTGCAAAACCTGAAATTACTTTCTCATACAATTTTGACGTAAAAAATGCAACGCTCACATACTCTTATCACTAATTCCGCATCCATTGTATCATGGTCATCATTAGAATTAACTGTTAGGCGACCAACAATTGCTGAACCAATTATATAAACTAGCCATGTCAATTGCAGTTCATGAACTGTGATATCCATAGGATTGGCGTTAGGCGTCTGCAGCAAATTTTCATACTCCCTAGCCTTTTGGTCAAAATGCTGAACAAGTAGAGTGCAAGTTTTGTCATATTCACAACGTTCAATCACAGACAATTGCTCTAATTGTTGTTGAACCATACACAAATCATCCAAAGGATCCTCCATATTATCACGAACAATAACTGGAACAGCATCTAGACGTGACTCAATATAAGCCTTTGTCACCTCAGGAGTATAGGTTCCTAATAAATGTGGTTCAGGAGATTTAACATACGGTACAGATGCCACCATTCTTTGCCACAATGTGAGCAGATAATGTACACTGTTGGGTGCAAACTGCCACATCTAAAAGACACACAGTAATTTTAGAACTTCAATCTATAATTATATATATATAGCAATATAAAAGGATATTCTACGAACCTGTAGCGATTGAACTGTAAATTTAGCAATTAACTGTATTGCTTCCGGATAACAGGGAACCGCTATAAGTTCACCTAATTGGTAGTTAGACTTGAGTCGAGCTAATAGCCGACAAAACTCATGATAGTTATCGGGATCACTAAGCCCCTGTAATGGTTTTTCATTATTAAAAAGTGCAAATCAATGCATACATTACATACAAAACTTACATGTAGATTCATAAGAATATTTTTTACTCCTTCTACTAAATGAGTAAGAAATTTTGTTCTTTCTGAATTATTAAAAAGGGATCGCCGTACTGAGGTCATCTATTGAAAAAAATAAGTTGAAGGTGAAATTAACTAATTTAATTTTTTAACATACTTGTACGAGGCAAGAGAGTGAATAGCTCGCTAAACCATTAGGAAGTATCTGATAGAGATCGAAAAACAACTTTAATGTATTAGAATCCAAAAATGCTGGTCGCCAAGATGTTGGTATTTGAACACTGTTCATATCGTCAGATGACTCATCCGTTGAACTTCCAATAAAGTCAAAGCTTAAACAGTTTTTCGTTAATCGCAAAACGTGTGATATTAGTCTGCAGATGTAAGGAATATAATTATGAATAATTGTCATTGTTAAAATTACACTTTTACAAATTTTTATACGAACGCTTGTTGGGATTCATCCATAAAATTTAAATTTTTACTGTTATCACGAGCAGTGACCAATAATGAACAGGATAGTAAAAAAATGTCATAAAGTTGTTGATCGCGGAACGAAGTGGCGATTTTTCTATTTTTCGAAAAAGTCAAATTAACGTCAACCTCAATTATTGAATTCATTTCTAGAACGAGCTGTGATAAAATCTGAACGCCAATTGTGCAATGTTCTACAGAGCCCTACAAAAATCGTATATTATTATTATGTTTTTATTTTTGTGGTTCACATTCTTTAATTTTTAAACCGATAAAAGTATTTACCTGTAAAAATTTTTTAACATCTTCGAAAAGATTTTGAAAAATCAATTCGCTCTTGTACATGTCGAACCATCCATATTTTGTAATTTTTGCAAGAAGTGTAACAAGTGCTTGCACCACAAAATGTTGTAAATTGGGACGATTAGCCAAATAATTCAATACATAGCTTCTGCAGAGGTAAATACAATATTTATAAATATGATTTTTTAAGGATCTTAAGATTTGTTTAACCTTATATCAATACGTTGTTCCAAATTCAGTCCTTGTATTAATTTTGTTAGTGTCGTAGCAGCTAATAACTGTGCATAGCTAGAATCGGCACGTTCTAATAACATTTGACATTTGGGAAGCGCATCTTGACTACTCACGAAAGCTACTAAAGCCTTTTCAGCATCTGATCGTATCACTGAATCGGTGGCCTCATAGAGCTGCTTACAAAGTATTTCTAATTGTTGTATTTCCTGTTAAAAATGTTTTGAGAAATTAACATAACCTTTAACTAAAAATATTGTAACTGGCGCTTGATATGTTTTTATGAATTAACAAGTTTTTTAACGTACCATTATTCCTTAATCAAAATAGTTGATAATCTACACCACTGTTAAAAGGTGGTATATACTTGCTTGGGTTTAGTTTTATTTGAGCGTATAATACTATCCAAAATCTTGTTAAGTTTGTACCACAAATGAGCGTCACTAATCTTTTCACTATTAATTTTTTTTAAATGGCCGTTTGTACAATTGAGGAGCAGCATCAATACAATGCTCGGTTGTTTATCTCCAAACTCCTGTAAGTGTAGTAAAAAAGTAAATTGTGTTCATAAAATTACAATTTTATGTTTCTCTGCATTTTTCTTGTATTTCAACAGCGGCCATTGACAGTTGAAAAGAGATGCCACGTAAAAAAGAAGATATTGTATTGTACTAAAAAATAAACACTAGTTTCTTCGTACTAAATATCAAAAAAACGATCATTTTTACTGCATTTTATCGTATAAGTATAATTTTATTAAAATTTTCTATTGTCCTGAATAAAATTTCTCTTACAACTATTCCATCTCCCATCGTAAGAAGGTAAAGATTGAACGCTTTTCAAATTATTGCAAAGTAATATTTATTGTAAATAAAAAGTTATTTAAATCGTTCAAAGTAAGTACAAGAGATTTTAGCTGATCATGAGATTTGCTTTAGACTTTTGTTTTAACAGATAAGTTCATATATTCTTTTTATGAGTACGTTTACATAATGCACAACAAAATAAAATATTAAATATAAGAAAGAAGCACGGAAATTCAAAGCATTCGCATGGGCCGCTTCGATATCAAAGTTTTATCTGTCCAGCAAAAGGAGAAAATTTTTATGTAAATCAGCCTTAAGATTTCATTATTGTCTTCAATAAAATGCAACAATGGGATATGCGTAAATGAAGACCGGCATTGGGGATAGGTATGAATTGGTGGGTGTTTAAGTATTCAATATATGTAAGTGAAGGAGGTAAAGTCATCCTTGATAAAGTATCAAACCATTAAAAGGTAAATAGTTGTAGTTATTTACATTTACAAAAGTATGATTATATTTATATAAATTAAAATTCAATTTTTACAGATTTAAGGTAGGCGAAGTAATTTCCGTTAAAGCTCGACAAGGTAAATCTGAATATATGTACCTCTCTTATTACAACTATGATGAGCCACTTGATTATGCGGAGGAGGAGTATGATACCATATTGGAGGAGAATCTATCAATTAATTCGTGGACAAACCTTTGTGAAAGCTGCATTATACCATCCACTATGCAAATTATTTGGTACATGGCAGTTTTAATTGGTTTTAGTCTCTTATGTCGCATGGGATTTGTATTTTGCTATCACTTTCCAAACAAGAAAGAGTGGCTTCTGCATCTAATTTCTACCTCAGCGGGTTGCGGTATGTTAATTGTAGCTGTGGGCACTAATTCGTTTTTAATTATATTTTTTGCGATTATTTCGTATTCGATTTTTCATTTAGTAAATTTGTTTTCACCTTTTAGAAAGAATATTGGTGTCATAATGGTAATATGTACAATTTTGACACAGCTTTGTTTCGAGCAAATATGGAAACGCCAAATAGCTTGGCAAATGATTAAGGGATCCATCATGGTTGTGAATATGAAGATTATTTCTATAGCTTTCGAAATGGAGCAAACAGTATTGAAAAGTCAGCGCGGGATAATTGTTCCTAATGTATTTTCCTTTTTTGGTTATATTTTCACACCTGCAAATTTAATAGTTGGACCATGGGTTCCATACAGTTCTTATTTGTATAGCATGCGCTTGAATCCAACACAGAAATTTCGTATGCGCAGAGTAATGTGGTGCGGTTTTTGCTGTTTGCTTTCGCTTGGATTTATAAATTTGTCTAATTGCATTGTACCATATTTGATTTCAGATCCTCGATTAATTTGGGTACGCATTTTTCGTGATGCATTGGCAGTTCGTTGTAGCCATTACTTCGTTAGTTTTTTGTCGCAAGCTTCAATTAGCGCTGGTGGTCTTTGTCTTGACAAGGACGATAAACCAAATAAGTGGTTGGGTTACATGATTACACAGCCTGTATACATCGAATTCCCTAGGTCGCTGAGTTCAGTTGTTCGAGCATGGAACATACCAATGCATAAATTTCTAAAAGAATTTATATTTCGGGGAATTTATAAACGTTTTAAAAGTCATTTTGTTGCAATTTTTGTAACTTATCTAGTTTCGTCACTTTTGCATGGCCAATATTTAAAAATATATTTGGCGCTATTTTCATTGGCAATATTTGGTTTTGTTGAAAGTCAACTACGAAAAAAGATTTCTAACGTTTTTAATGCGTGTGTTACTGCAGAGCCCTGCCGAAAGCCATGTCGTTTTAAGTACTGTCCCAGTCAGGGTTGGCGAAGCGATTGTGCGATATTGGTAAAACTGACGAATCTTTTATTTTCAATGGTGACCATTTTCCATTTAGCATACATAGGTGCAATGATGGAATCTATAGCTGACGAAGACAATGATATTGCCGACAATTTAAATGTATGGTCGACAGTTAATTTTATTAATCATTGGATAGTATTGCTTACATACGCGCTTTATTTAGTTATTTAACTAACCAATAGTTTTAGTATTACATGTAAGATGCTAAAGTGAATTAATTTATAGTTTTCGAAATAAATTTGTATAAAAGCGTGTAATTCTATGAATTCAAAGTCATGATTATTTATTAAGTAAGCCTTAACTTTCACTATTATATAATACAAAATATCGAAATAATAACACCGCTATAGGTACCTAATTTCGTTATTCAATTCTGTTGTTGTTATGTGAACGTACACGACAGCATGGATGAATTAGGGAAAATGAGAGAGTCTCGCATCATGTCATCCTTGACAACAGCTCCAAGCAACCGTCCCCATTTTTTAAGAGAGAAGCACTGAAAGCAAAGCGTGCGTTGTGTTTGTTTTCTGCGCTTCGTTGTTTCAATGTGAACTGTCACGCAAAGCCAGGAGAGTTAAGAATGATAGAAATACAGTATATATATATACCATATATAGTATTCTATCATTATTGCAGGAAAGTTATATGTGAATGGGCCTTTATTCTGACATAGCCTTTGCTTTCTTCGCTTTATTGTCAAAGTTTGAATTGACAACTTCTGTGGCAATAGTTATTGTCATACAATTTTCGGCAATGTATTTAGGCCATTTTTTTATTTGGGTTACATGATCGGTTTGAAGCGTTTAGAAATTTACTGGAGATGAAAAATGGAAACCGTATAATAAGAGAAAACACAATTTTGAACTTTTTGTATCAATCTACTGCTGTATATTTAATTGCCGGATAAAAACCTCTTTGAAAGTAATTTCTTGAACAAATTTTATTTTGGCAATATTGTTTTCCAGATGACGATGACAGCATTTTGTATAACTGATAGTGTAAGGAGTAATGTCAATTAAATTGTAAAATTAAGTATTGTAATTATTTATAGCATAAAAGAAACTATGGTAATGCACAGTAAACACATTCTATTTAATCCTTTAACTGTGTTAATTGCCTTGGATTTAATTTCACATATGAGAGTAGTGAGTGCAATCCATGCACGCAGTGAAAAAGAAATGCAAACCACAGCTGTTCAATCGGTTGTGCCTATTACTTCTCCATCCTCTTTAACTGGTTCAGCAGCAGTATCTTCAGATTTCAACCCACTTGGACCTATGGTTATGTGTTCGTTTTTGCCGCGTGATTTTTTGGAGTGCAAAGATCCAATTGACCATGATAACAATAATACAGCCAAGGCAGTAAAAGGTTACGGATGTTTACGTTTCGGAGGATCGACATATGAAGAAGTGGAGCATACTGAAGTTCTGTGTACAGTATTTTCAGATATTGATTGTTATGGACCACGAACATTTTTACGGGATGGTGTGCCTTGTGTACGCTACACAGATCATTATTTTGTAACAACACTCATATATTGTATCCTATTAGGGTTCTTAGGTATGGATAGATTTTGTTTAGGTCAAACTGGCACAGCCGTAGGAAAGTTATTGACACTTGGTGGTGTTGGAGTATGGTGGGTTATTGACGTTATCCTACTTATCACAAACAACTTGCTTCCAGAGGATGGGAGCAATTGGAACCCTTACATCTAAAATAAGAAGTACATATTTCCGAAATATATGTGATATTATAATGCAACAAAATGTTAAATGAAATCATACTTTCTTGTTAGTGATATTTTTCATTAGTCCACCTAAATTAGAAATGTATTATTCTATAATTACTGTTGTTGTAGCGGCAGAATTCTGCCGAGTTGGCAGTCCTTGGCCGGATAAATAGTCCGGTTTCGTTCCAATTACATAGAGCCGATTGTCGTGGCAACATTACTCAATACCAATAATAATAAAAGTTCATTTGATTTGTTTCATCCATTATATACAATAGTTGCAATAACGCAATATTATATTCTTTAAAATGATTTTGTTTTGTCTTTTAATCAATATAATAATCACAAAATATACAAATAAAACGCAACACACCTCAAATAACAATTGAAATATTAAAATTGTGTATATATGTATATATATATATGATTTTCAATTGAGATGATATGCTTTCTAAGTGTCGTTTCGCCATTTTTAATGTCATGATCTGTGATTTTTTTCATTGGAATTCATCATGGAAGGATATGCGCAAGAACAACGTTTACAAATTATTTAATTATTAATATTTTATTATCGCTTTTGTTATTTTATGGTCGTAATAATCGTCCACCTGTGCTCGGTATTCGTCAAATGGTTGAAAATATCGAGCGTACATTTTCTTTACATAATGTTCAAGTGCCAATAAGACAAAAAACCGCTCGAAGTAAGAAAGATCGCAATTTGTCGAATCCATGCCGTTCTCAAAAATTTGGACTGTCTCAAACCACGACCTGGCGGAGAAAGAATTTGGGCTAGCATCCGTATAAAGCTGTTCTCACTCAAGAACTGCAGCATTGGACCATCGTAAACATCGGGAATTTGCTGGTTTTGCTTTGGAACAATTTGAAAACGATAACGATTTTTTTAAGAAAATCATCTTTACCATGAGGCTGACTTTCATCTCAGTGGTGCGGTAAACAAACAAAACTGTCGATTCTGGTGCAAAGAAAATCCACCAACTATTCATGAACAACCATTATATTCACCTAAATTGACAGTTTGGTGTGAGTTTTGGTCTGGTGGAATCATCGGTCCGTACTTCTTTCGAAATGAAGCTGATGATACCGTTACTGTCAATGGAGAGCGGTATAGATTGATGATCATCAACATTTTATGACCGCAATTATAAGAAGTTGATCTTGACAACATCTGGAAAGAAATTGTGACATTGAATGGTCATCAAGAAGTTGTGATTTAACACCATTAGACTCCTTTTTGTGGGTTTTTTTGAAGCCATTGGCAATAAACCTGACTCTTGTCAAGCTTTAGAAGTCAATATTGAACGTGCTATTCATGAGATACGACTTAATTTAATGGAAAAGTACTCGAAAATTGGGTTCACCGAATTCGAATGCAAAAAAAGTCGTGGAGGCCATTTGAATGATGTTATATTCAGAACTTAATTGTATCGATTGTACTTCACATTAAATAAAAAACATTTGAATTTCCCTAAGTGCTTTTATTTTTTTAATAATATCACTCTTATTGGAAAACTCTTTATATATATATTAATGTATTATATAGGTATTAATTATTTCGAATAAACATTTTTGAGAGTCTTAATTATAAATATTCTCCCAAATATTACTTCAGATATTTAGTTATTTTCAAGCCTGGGAATACCTGCAGATATCGAACTTTCAATTCCGCAATGATCTTCCCCACGCAAAATTTTAAAGTATCCATTATTTCCCCAATCTGTGTTCCATGAATTGGCTATTAACCAGTATGGGGTATTCTTCTCTACTCCCCATCCTAAGATACGAATAGCGTGGCCTCCAAGGGCTTTTCCTACTACATGTTGATAAACACCGTCTTTGTATAGTATTAAATCTTCATAAACCGTAAATGCTCCCTCTACAGGACCATTCTTATATATTTCTTCTTGGATGTCTCGCTGATTGCGGCCGATAGAATACGCTTTGGCACCATAATGTTTATCCTTAGCGTAGTCACCTTTATAACTAGCTTGACATTTATGTTGGCATCGGGGAGTCTTCCCATGTTCACCATCGCAGGCTGGACGCGTGCCATTTACGTGATGTTCACATGGTGCAATCTCATATGGACGGCAACCCTGATATAAACAATTTGCTTACAAAACGATTATATGAATAAATATGTATAATCAACGGATTTACCTGTTCAGAACCAAAAGCGCCACCACTAACTATACCCTTTCGAGTCCAGTAGCTCCAGGCAGCTCCTGGAAATCCTCCGTTGCATCCAAATCCACATGTATGACAACATGATACTAAGTCGTCAGCAGAAAAGTGAAAATTTTTTGTTCCGTTGGAATGAATGCAAAACTATCCATGGAATATTGAATTTTAATAGAATTGTTGGTTTAGGGGTCAATTTATGTCTGTATGCTAAATAAACTACAGTATTGATGATAATTTCTTTTGATTATATGTATTACGAACAAATTACTAATGCGATAAGGTTTAATATTAATAACAAAGCATGTATGCGCATATATAATATGTATATTTCTTTGTACACATTTTTGCACTTCACACACACATTTTTATGTATGCATACGAGATGGTTAACGATACGTATGAAAAATTACAAACAAAGGAAAATGCATATCGATCAACCGTACTGAATGTGTATAGCGTTAGTATTGGAAACCCAGACTCACTTACCCTATCTGACATTGCTTCCACTGCTCCAAACGCCCAACACGATCCGCAAGACCCTTGATCTCGTATTTCCGAAATAGTAGGACACTGAGACCATTGCTTTCTTGAATCAAATACCTCTGGCAATTCAACTTCGCTCTCACCAGATTCCTTTATTAATTGTGGCAGGGCGAATTTATGCGAATCTGGGTGTACTCCCATTAAACCACGAATGTATTTCTCACCAATAGATTCGGCAAAATTCCTTCCAGGCTAAAAAAAAATTTTATATTTTTTTAAACCACTAAGTTCCTAAATTAAATTTGTTACCGTCCATGTTTTCGCATTATTGCGCACCAGCTCAATGAATTCATTTGACAAAAAATGCGGATCAGATGCATCTTTTTCTCCAGATGCTACGATCACAACAGCCAATAAAAAAAAACCAACGAAAATAACTTTCATTTTTGCTAAAAAAAAAAAGTGAAAAAAGATGTTAAAATATAAAAAATAAAAAACTTTGGAATAATCAATAAAAAAAAATTACCTAATTGCAAAAAGGTTCTAAAGTAACAAAGAATAGTACTATACGAGCTACTCGAAATCCCACAACCAATTTATCAATAAAATGAACGGTTGAATAGAGGTGCGTTTTATTGCAGGACAGTTTTGAAAGCTTTGAAATAACTTATAAGCAGACCACGCCTGCGATTATTATCTTACGCTGCGTGACATGATCTAGAACTTGCTTTCAAGTTGATCACACAAACTACTGTCAAATTTTATTTAAGCTGACAGCCGCGACGTAGGCTGCAAGCAAATTGATAATCAATATTAGTTTCAAGATACCATTGTCATGGTAACCACTTAAAATTGTTGAAAATTTTGCACTAAATTTATAATATAATGGATTGATATACTTATATATTGATATCAATCCATGAATATAATGAAATATTGCACATTGCATGTCATTTGTTTGCAAACTATGTGATCAGCTGTTCAAACTTAAGTTAACTTGCCACTCGACTTGATTAAGAAATTTGATATCAAGACGACCTTCTCGTTCGAAAAGTGAGAGTGCGGTAGTAGAAAAGTGTGAGTGTATTGCAACTTGAAAGCAATTTCTTGATCGTGTAACGTCAGGGTTATATAAATAATTAACACGATACTTTCTTATCCAACTCCTCCTCTTCATAGACAATAATTATTACAATTTTGAAATTTTGCTATTCATATAGTATACATATGTGCACGACATACGTATCAAACTACCAAAGTTACAAGTCAATGTCAGAAAAAGTTAACGGAATAATTATATTGGGTTGTATTGCCTGCTATATATTGTCGTCTCCAATGATATTAGTACCTCTATTAATAGTAATACCAGAGAATGTAAAATATTGCCTGCGGAAACAGCAAATAAACCGTATACATTAACATATGGATGAAAAATTAGTGAAAGTGAAACAAAATTATTGATATTGGATATACATATGCGATCATATTTTTAAAATAATTTATGTTTTAATTCTGATAAAAACAATATGACTTCGCGTAACCTAACTGAGGTTTTTGTGATAATGCGCAATAATGCATCCAAACATCGAAATTTGTATTCTGAAAGCAGAGTATGTATATTTAATAGTAAATTAAAGTGTGTGTTAATAATTTTCTTTTATGGATAGTCGACGGAAGATGCAGAACGTTTAATTAATAATTCAATCCGCGATGCAGAGGAAGGTTTAGAAATGCGGGATGACTACGGTACTCCTCCCTTGTGGATTGATAAGCTAGAGGAAGCACAATACACTTTATCTAAGTATTCGTATACGTATATTTTATTATTGGTGTAGTTATTTTAATTTCCAACAATTTCTAGAATAAAGCCAAAACTTGATGAATTAGGTTCATTACATGCAAGACACCTGTTGCAACCTGCTTTCGATGAAAATTTTGAGGAAGAAAAAGAAATAGAAAACCTTAGCCAGGAAATTTCAAAACTGATCACATCCACTCACCGACATATACAATGTATTCGATCAAGTCTTGGTATAGGAACTAAGATGGAACAGCGGTTAACAGAAAATGTTGTAACTTGTTTGCTACTTCAATTGCAAGAATTGACCTTTAAATTTCGTAACAGTCAAAGTATTTACGTACGTCAACTGAATTCTAGAGAAGAACGTTCACAAAAATATTTTGAAAATGATGATTTCACAAACATTGACTTAGTTCCGGGTACTACAGATGATCACGATAATTTCGTAGATACATTTGATAACTTTCTACAACCCGTTTCCTCTGTATTAAATAATAATAAATCTAGTAACAAACGTAGCTATTTATATGATGATGATTCTTCTCAACAAATAGATGAAGATTTTCAACGTCCTATATCGAATCGCATGACTAAACAGCAACTCCTGCTTTTTGAAGAAGAAAATACTCGCTTCGCAATTAATCGCGACGAAGAAGTCACCAAAATCGTAAAATCTATTTATGATCTTAATGATATATTTAAAGATCTTAGTCAAATGGTACAAGAACAGGGTACTATATTGGATCGTATTGATTACAATGTCGAGCAAACGCAGACAAGGGTATCTGAAGGGCTTCGGCAATTGCAACGTGCTGAAATATATCAAAGAAAAAACCGGAAAATGTGTATTATTATGGTGTTGGCATCTGTAACTTTATTTATGCTTCTTCTTCTTATTTTTACAAAGTTATAAACATGAAATAAAAATAAATATTTGATATTCCATATCTTAGCAAATGATGAATCATATAAGTATTACCAAGGTAATAATAATTGATTAACTTTTGTTTCACATACGTTCAGACAGCCGACTAGCCACTGAGCGGAGGTTCCCGTATACTTTACTTGGGGGTGAACCCAGAATAAGATTACAAATGGCTCTCCGTGCTAGTTGAATATTTTGATAGCTCCCTAAGATGTGAATTTTGCTGTCAGCCAAAACAATGCGAGTTTTTGTAACATTTTCTATAGTGAATTTTGTACGTCCTCCTTTTCCTGCCAAACGTCCTATTGCACGACTCAAATGATCACCACGAAGAGTTTTTACATCCTTTACTTCGAATGTTTCTACAAATAAATCTTCTAAACGAAGCAACGCCAACGCGTCATCCACTTCGAATCCACAAAGGAATGCTTTAACAAAATCAGCACCTTTTTGCAGATTAGATATGTCAGGTGTTTCTTCGGAAATTCTCAACTCTACCTGGATGAATAAAAAACATTACATTCAAGTTGCTTGAAAATATTATTCTTGAAAAATGGTAACGGATTTATTAGACCAAGTTTCAACCGTTGTTTGATCAACATACTTACTTGTTTCGCTTTCATATTAAATCTTATTTGTAACTTCATATGTTCGACAACTGGAGTGAAAATTTTCATCCAGTGTTCTTTAAGAGATGAGTATCTAACATATTTCGGTGTCAGTTTCGAATTAAATATATTATACGGAGATAATACCTGTGTGGTGGAACCGAAATTTTCCTAGTATCACTTTTTTGTCGTTTTACACGCGGTGCTTGGAGTCTTTGCTTTGTTTCCTGCAACGGAGACTCCTCGTCAACGGGTATCGCTGTGTTATAATCTGCAGATCGCTTTGGTGCCCTTTTAGACATGGAAGGCGGTAAAAAATTATCACCATTTATATTTTCCACTTCCATTCTTTATTTGCTTCTTAAATGTATTGTTTACTAGAAAATATTTAAAGCCTTTTAAATGCTTTAAAAACTTCCACAAATAAAATTTGACAAAAACATGTGGCTGAAAATATTTGTAAAGAAACGTCAAATTTATTACTTACATACACAGAGAAATTGACATTCGTATATAAGATCAAAGGCATTCAAGCAGTTTTCAAAATATATCAGAATGTCTACATCTTCAATTATATTAGCATTGCTATCAAAAAGTAACTCTGCAAAGATTCTACTATGCGGAGCCGACCCCTTTCCTTATTTTCGTTACATTGTTATTATTACGTATATATATCCTCGTATTAAATGTGTCACAATGCATATCAACAATGCCTAAAGTAAATATTTTCTCTCTACGATGAAATAATAAAATTCATTAGAAGATCATAAAGTTGGGTTTTCGCAATTCAAATTTATTATAAAAAGCACAAATATAATTGAGAACAACTTAATTTTCTGTATAAGCGAACAATATGCCCAGCATATCACATAGAAATTAAAATTTTTTATAAATAATTTTGGTTAAAAACTTCATAAATTAAATCTTGAATAGATCTCACAAATAATCAGCCGCGAATTTAGTTCGCAACTAAAGCAACCTATTTCAGCTGCTGTGCACATATTTTTAAAATAAGTCCACACGGCGCTAGCCGCTAGTTAAAAAATAATTTTGAATTTAATTTAAAAGTAAGTTTAACGAATATATTGTAAATATATACTACTGGAAATAAATAAATATTTAATGGTACGTGGAACTAGGTCAAACTAGTCACCTAAACGTAAAATCGAGTGTCAAGAATCGATGCTTGATCGTTTTCGGAAGGTCGACTCCGAAAAACCGATTATTTGATGAGAAAACTCGACTATCGAGTAGAATCGGAAACGAGTTTGCCATCGCTATGCCACAGTGAATGCATTTGTTTGGCTTTAGTGGGAAACGTTTTAAAGTTTTTCCTTTATCTTGTTAAACAATAAATTTTAATGGAAGAACACAAATTAGAGGAATTGCGTAGCAAAAACTTCAGTCAGATTAAATCTATATTGACCGAATTTAATTCAAAAGTAAGTACAAATAATGATAGATATGATTATATGTATGTATATAGAGTATAAAATCTAAATTAAATTCCATACAAAAACAAAACTCTCATGTCAATATTTTTTTTTATTATTATTTTAACTGTTTAGAATGATGACCTTTTCAATTTTTCGGCTTTCCATGTAGATGGGCGCTGGCATGCTATGTGGCGTGCACTCTTCGACATACTTAATGATGATAGCTTACAGGACTTGCATGATCTAACTTTAAATAGTGTCCGTATCCTCACAAGAGACAAATGTAGTTTACAAACAGAAGATTTAGAAGAAGATGTATCTTGTCTTCTTAAATTAGCTCACTTGGAGCATCCTGAAGCTGTAGAAGTGTCTGATGATACCGAGCCAACTGGTTGTGAGTCGAGTATGATTGACATTGATTCAGACGGATTAGCAGTTCAAAATGTTAATGTACATTGGAGTGGTAGCACAACCCGAGTTGTAGTTGAGTCTCTTAAATGTCTGTGTAATTTAGTATACCAATGTGCAGATCGCCGTCGCCAATGCGTAAAATCTAACATAACAGATGCTATTCTAAAGCGGATCGCATCATCTGTACAACATCCACCTTCAGTTGAATTTTTTGATATGAAATTGTTATTTTTGATAACAGCAATGGAGCCAGCAACACGTACACGTGTACAAATTGATTTAAATGGAGTCGCTTACATGACTGGATGGCTTGATGAAAAACTTGTAGAAAAAGATGCTAGTGATGAGCATATGGATTTATTATGTGAGATGCTAAAAGTAATGTTTAATATTACTACAAATTCTGACAGAAGCCCAAATGAAAATGAAATTCAGAGTCGACATTTAACTGGTGTCCTACGAAAGTTGCTATTGAATTTCGGTGATCTAAGGAATGAGCGAGAGCGTAGCATAATTATGCACGCCATCAACCTTTTGACAAACATTTCTGGTAGTTGTTTGACAGAGTTGATAATGAAGAGTGAATCAGGTGGTCCAGCCACATCTTCTATATTAATTTATGAAGGATACAATGTACGTGCATTAGAAATAATTACGAGGTATTTAAAAGTGATATTAGATGAACAGGAAAAAGCTGCAACATCTAATGAGCTAATTTCTCCAGTTCTAACATTGCTAGTCAAGTGTGCACGAAGTGATAAGATTTTGCGACACTATATCAGAAGTGTAGTATTACCCCCATTACGGAATGTTTATACACGACCCGAAGTGGGAAATGAACTACGAAATCACTTATGTCGGTTTTTAACTTTACCAGAAATGATGTTGCGTGATTTATCTACAGAGTTACTTTTTGTGTGCTGTAAAGAAAATGTATCACGCATGATAAAACATACAGGGTACGGTAACGCTGCTGGCTTATTTGCAAAGCGTGGTCTCCTAGGGGGTCGGCACGTCGAAAACACTGATTATTCTTCAGATAGCGAGGACAGCGATACAGAGGAGTATAAACAAGTACAACATAACATCAATCCGGTTATTGGATGTTATGAGGCTCCGAAAAAGAGTCCTCTCGAAGGTATGTCTGAGGAGCAGAAGCAATATGAGGCCATGCAGCTTGTAAATCTAATGGACAAATTACACAAAACGGGAGTGGTACAACCATGTCGTATTGGTGAGGATGGCAAACCACAGCCAGTAGATCATATTTTACAATTGCAGGAGGAATTACCTCAACAACAAGCGGATCAGAAACGTAAAACATAAATTACACCTGTATGTTTAGCAAGATTTTAGTAAACTACAAATGATACAAAGCCAATTTCAAATAAATGATAAATATTGAAAGTCGAATTTTAATTTGTAAACGCGAATAATACATTTATATTTTAGTTGCGTTTTTACTCTTATAGCCGTATTATAAAAAAACATTAAATGTTAATTACATAACCAAAGATTTTTTATGTATTACATATTATATAGAAAAATTTATACTTATATGTGTGTTTTAATAAATAAGCATTTAAGTTTCATCCCGCATACCGGATTAAAAAATAAAAATAAATCCCAAATAAATCCCAACCACCCTATTGAAAAATAAAACAAACATTTTAATCTTGAGAATATTAAAAAAAATTTGGCTTTTATTTACCATTTTTTCGCGTTCATTCAGATCAAAAAGTAATATTTTCGATTTTTAATCCCAAACGTCTTGGACCAACATCGGGATTAAAAAATGAAAAAGTAATTTTTAATTCCAAATTTTTGAATTAAAAAATGCGCAAGTCGGCCAACGCTTAATTTAATTTTCCATACCCTTCTGGTATGGTTTTTTCGGTTTTTTGGATTTTGGCTTTTTTGGTTTCAGCTCAATTTTGGAGCGCCATTTGCTAGATTGGTTGATAGCTCCGACGTCATATATAAATCCATTTCTCGTCAGCAGTAATGATGTGTTTGATAAACCGTTTCCACGACATTCGGGTCTACGTAAGCGGAACGGACCCGGATTTTATCAGGCCAAGGCGTTTGATGAATATAGGGCCCTCAGCTTCGTTGCCAATCATTTTTTTTGCGGACAGTCGTCAAATAGCGTCGATTTTGTAAAAGATTCAGGTCTCTGGGTACGAGTCTTTCATTAACGTGTTTCATGCCCAAAACATTAAACAAAATATGTTCAGTCGATCCATAAGAGGTTTTGAGATCTCTGCTATCTTCACCATGAAGATTTTCAAGCACTGTTTCTTTAACTTTTTCGATGTTATCGTCATTAAGAGATGTGAATAGACGACGCGCATGAGGCAAGTTTTCGATGACCCTTCGATCATCATTTAGTGCTTTGTGTCAATCTAATAATTGTTTGTCATAAAGTAGGGTTTTTCAAAACACAATCGTGAAAATTCATTCTGGCCGATAGATAGCGGGGTTTAAGAGTGGTTATTTATACCAGAAAGATCAGGATGACGAGACGAGTTGAGTTCCGGATGTATGACCTTTAAATCACATATACTACAAAAAATTAGTATCGTTAATCTAACAGATTTTATGCCGAATATATCGGTCAATGTCTGTGTTATGTTAATAATATTGACGTTACAACCGAATATTAAAGACCGCATTGGGAAAGGCCCCACTTCTCGAGGATTAATCGTTTATTTCTAAAATAAAAACTTTTCAAATTCAAAAAACAAATACTAACTTAATTAGAAAAAGTGTTTGTGCACAGAATATAATAGTTAAGTTAAACTAACGGCAGACAAATGATGCTCAAAGTAGGGATATGTGTAGTTTTATGTACTAATTTAAAAAACTACAAAAATTTCGTGTGAACATAACCTTTACCGTATTACTAAATGACTTGAAGTGAAAGCGGATAATAGCCATGGTTAGATGCTTTAATTGAAAATTAGTTGGCAACAGGATGCTGCAGAAAGCCGATTATTAAAATTTACAGAAAGCCATATACCGAATTTGAAAATCTCCGTACATATGTCCGACTATTCCGAAAATTTACTGAAATTAAGGGACACATTTTCACGATAACAGTGTGGTCTGGAGCTAAAAAAACATAAATTCGGTTCCGCATCTTCATATCTAATGTAATTACCACATTTTCGTTAATTTGGTTATTTTGTAAGATCAATATTTACCAGGATAAAACCCTTTTAAAAAAAATTATCGTAGTATCTTGAACATACTGTATTTCCGTACCAAAAATTATTGTAATCGGTCCCTGAATTACAATACATTGCTCCATACACATACATACATAATATAATGTTGTTTGTTGTTCAAGGTGACTTTATACCTACATTACTTATCTTAAATATCTTAACAATTTATGTGAAGATGATCACATTTGCCTATAATTTTTTTAACTCGCAGGAGTATTTAATGATGTTTGTAAAATTTCTTAGAAGCCGAACCAAATTCACCCTTCCTTTTCACCTGCCTTGCTTGATTCTTCAAAATCTTTATACATAATTGTTATGTTTACTTTACTCATGATCTGTATCAAAAGATAATAAGACCTTTAATAAGAAAAGATAAAAAATGATCAATATACATATGTAGTTCTTTAAAATATTCAGTGAATATACACACTCATACAAATATATTTTAATTGGATATATACAGGTTAGTACATATAGGTATGTATAGGCAGTTGCCATTACACGTACATAAAAACTCTCATTTAATAACTTAGATAAAATGGCAGTTATTCTAGCATAGAATAGTAAAATCAATATCATTGACAATTTGTTAATGTGTGCTTCGTTAAGTGGCTACTATTTTGGGGTGGTCGCGCTATGAATTTCGACATCGGTCTGCCGTTGCGGTGAATATTGTGTGTAGGCTGTTGATGCGACTGATGAATTTTTGATATGTTAGAGTGTACTTGAAACGACGGATGTTTGTTATCTATCAATACGTCTTTATTCGACATTTTCGTCGATCGGTCTACAATATATTCCTCCCCTTCGTTTTCAGCTGTAACTATAGGTACAGCTCCAACGTTGAGAGTACCATTAAAAATCGCTGAATTAATGCCATTTTTACTTCCAAAATCACGAGTTACCTTGGCAAGCAGATCATAATAGGGATTTTGTTTTGTATTGCACACATTTTGTTGTATTTGCTGTTGATGTCTATTGTTTTTGACATCGGATTTCGTTGGTTCGAGGTATGCCTGTTGCAGAGTATGGGGACGAGTATGCTGTATTTGATTATTAGTTGCGTTTCGAAGGTTATTACGAATTTGACTTTGAATCTGACTATTGCCCTTATTATGCTTTTGTGGCGATTTTTGATGCGTATAACTAAATGTTTCTTTACAAAAAGACTTTACTTCTTTCTTGTATTTTTCTATTTCTTCCTCTAATTTTTTCAATCGTTTTTCATAACATAATCGATCATTTCCTCTGACTATGTTTTCAGTAGACTTCGTCAGACCACTGACAATGGTATTCGTTACGTCCGATTTTGAGTTCCGAACATATGAAGACTTCTTTAAAAATGGCGCGCTGTCATTGTTGTATGGATCCTGAACTTCTATGTAAGATTGTTCATAGTCGATATCTGGATAAGCAAAACTGCTATCTTGCTGCCGGCATTCTAATTTTTGCTGGCTAGAATATTTATTTTGTTGATACTGAAGAAGGTGAGTTGATTGCTCTGGTTTGCTCTTTTGTTCACCTTTACATATCGACGACGAGCTACGGTGTTGTCGGCGAGTGCTATCCACTTTTTTTAGTGCCCCACTGGGGGATGTAGTCTGTCTACCTACTAAATCTCCCAATTGTCCTCCTATACCCAATTTACCATCTGGGAGACTAGTGTAGCCAGCATCTATGGAATGCCGTTTGTCAATAACATTTACGGGAAAATGATCATCATAGCTTCCATGTACTTTTAAGTGCTTCTTATCTTTTACAACTTCTACTGTTTGCTGTGCAAAGTATTTAGAATGTGTTTTGCCGGACTTGCGTTTAGCATTAGGAGATATGGTAGTTAATTTTTTAGTGGGTTTACCGTTTATACTGGGCACGCTGATAGATGGTTGTGTTTCGCTTTCGTGTTTTTCCGGTCGAGTTAAATACTTATCTTTTGAAATATATTTGTCCTCTGAGATTTTGCCTTGCTTAGTCTTATGAGGTTTCTTTAATGTATCAGTCTTGTCGTAGGGTGTTGAAATCTTGTGATCTCTGTACATATAACGAGATATCTAGTTAGGTAAACATATGTATTCAAGCAATTTTGGCGTTACTTACTTTTGATTTATGTTGAAACTCTTAACAATTGTTGTCGTTTGCCGTTTGTCTGGTTTTTCGTTGTTATGTTGAACAATTTCATATAACTTTGACCGATATTCAGGTACAGTTAGACGCACATCATCGCGGAATGGTGGCAAAATATCCACACTCAATTCAATTTCTGGTATAGAGTTGCGAAATCTTTGGTGTTTTTAAAAGAGATACCTGTTTTATAAAAAATCGGTTTAAAGAATAAATTGGTCTTTCAGACCACCTTACTTTTCTACATATGGATGGCCCAGGGCTTGTTTTGCTGTAAGCCGAGCCAAGGGATCTAAGACTAATAATGATTTGACCATATTTAAAGCATCTTCTGGAGCATCAGACATCATTTCATTTAATGATGTTTTCCTGTTAAGCACACAGTCAAATGAAAAAAATATGCAATGTACATAAACATTTGTACTGTGTATTTTTTATTTCAAATGCACCTTTCACGTGAAATCTGTTTGCTAAGAAGTACCGATCCGAAACCAGCTCCTACTGCTTTAACGTCGTGATCTGTTATTTCTGGCAGAGCTGTTACTATCCTTTCTATCTATTAAACGTATATATATAAATTATATTATTATGCAAATATACGCTACTTACTTGATTGACAGTACTGCTGCCTTGAAACAATGGCTTTCCTCGTATCATTTCACCAAGTATGCAACCCAAGCTCCACATATCGATCCCTTTAGTATATCTTTTACAATAAAAATATACTGCCAGTGCGAACGATAGTTTTCAAATAAATAACAGAAAATACCTTTTACTAGCGACAAGAATTTCTGGAGCTCTATACCAACGTGTAGCGACATAATCTGTGAGTATGGGCTCGATGGCGTGATCACTAGTCATATCGTTACCGTCTCGCATTGGCCGATTCGAAACAGAGCGCGCTAGCCCGAAATCGGCCAATTTACATCTACAATAACAAACAGGGATATAGAAATAGTTAGAGTTGTGAAAATGTCTCAGTCACCTGCATTTACTATCTATGAGTACGTTGCTTGGCTTCAGGTCCCTATGTATCACATTTCCGGAATGTATATACTTAATAGCATTAATTAATTGGTACATCACATATCTTTTATGAATATCCTTTAAAATAGTGCCCTTCTTAATGATGTTATGCAAATCACTTTCCATATATTCAAAAATGAGGTATATGTCTAAATTATTCGACGCTCTGAAAGTTCCAATTAAAGACATATGTAATTGAGAAGCTCTATTACGCATATTTATTTAAGGATGACAAAGAGATTATTTTTGGCATATGAAGCCTGGGGACGTGTGTAGTGGAATTGTATACTAACCTATATACAGTTAGTAATCGTATGACATTGGGATGATTACGAAATGCCTTCAGAAAAACAATTTCACGAAAAGTTCGTTGCGCATCAGTTTCGTCGCGAAATGCGTCGAAAATTTTCTTAACTGCTACCGTTTCGTTTGTACGCTTATCCAATGCTTTCCACACAATGCCATATGCTCCTTTACCCAAGCGCTACAATTTTTTAGAGACTTAGTTTTTTATTTAAATAAGTATGTATGTATGAATTTATGATATGTTTATCTATCAGCACGTTTGTAGAATTCGCAATGTGACCAAATATGTACTTAATGGTGAAAATAATAAAATATACAAGTAAGGAAGGGATAAGTTCGGGTGTAACCGAGCAATTCATACTCTTGCAACTTGCCGGGATCAAAGCCGGGAAATACCTTCAGGTGTTGTCAGAAGTTTAATAAGTTATATTATAGGTGATAGACTCAATTAGTTATAAATTATATTTTACTTCCCGTCAGCGAAAATTTAATTAAAATCATTCTCAAATGACATATACTTGTATAAATATATGACATAAGCTTAACAAAAGAGGCTAAATTTAATATATTGTTATTAGTTGATGTGCAAAACGTCAACCAGAAGATAGAAATTGATAATACTTGTATAAGGGATATAAGATAAGGCCAAACCACAGATGCCACTACGATTCGTTGTACCAAATTACAGTCTTGTATTTTAATTTGCAGATTAGTTATGGCAATTTATAAGTTTTCGATTGATGGTGGTTTGTGGGCGTGGCAGTGATCCGATTTCGCCAATCTACTCGCCATTCCAATTCGACCAAAAAATACGTGTACAAAGTTTCATGACGATATCTCAATTTTTTCTCAAGTTACAGCTTGCACGGACGGACTGACAGATAGATATCCGGATTTCCACTCGCCACATCATCCTGATCATTTATATACATATGTACGTAACTCTATATCTATCTCGATTAGTTTTTGGTGTTACAAGTAACAGTTAGGTAAAGAAAACTATTATACTCTAGCAACATCAGTTTGTATATAGTAGTTATAGTTCATTAGTTCACAACTGTTAAAAACTTTTATTGAAATTGGTAAGATAACCGAATTATAATAATATCAGTATCAATCAATGGAGTTAAGCAGGCTTAGAGTTGAAAGTATATGATCAAATAACTGAAATATTTCAATATAGACAAAATAAGCATGTTAAAGAGAAAGAAAGACAAAATGTATGCTAAACAAATATATATTTTTGAATTATTCTACATCTTATCAAGAAAGTGTAATGCAATAGTTTAATGTGCATATATACATAAGCCATATATTGTATTATACGTAGTTGTTAATTTTTGGTTTAAGCCTTAGTGTTTTATGTATTAATACAAGTATACCTATATTAATATACAAATCATTTGTATCGATTAATAGTGATTTACCTTTTTTATATCAAAAATTTTCGAAATATTTTCATCAATCTCGGACATTTTGTGCTTCTCCTGTTGAGTCTTAGATTTGGTTGTCATTGTGAAGCTCTACCTTTTTACTTGAATAAAATTCGTTTTGAGTATAAGTACACACGCTTGAACGGGACAATTGAAACTGTCGATCTCATAGAATACGCAACTAGACAGAAGACATTACTATTTTATCGAAATTAAGGTTATCATAACAGATTACATTTTAAAACTGTGCCACCGCGTTGTTAGTGGAAGGGTATTTACGTTGGCGTTGGAAAGGCTTTTTTTGTTTTTTTTTGTGGTGTTGTTGCTCAAGTAACCCGAAACTACAATATATACCGAGATACATATACACACATATATTTGTTACAATTAAATGTTGAATTCAAACGGATTTGTTAGATCGATGATAAAATACGACCGTTGCAATATTAGTGGAAAAGGAAATAGTAACGTCAGTCCTATGAACGGTTATCAATGAAGTGATGCGACGTTGAGTGCAATTTCGTGCATACAAATGCAGTTATATTCGGCTCTGTCAAGCCACATAAAACATACGTATACATTAGCTTTAACATAATAAATAAACATGTACATATATATAGGTTTATGGTGCATTTAACAAAAATACTCGGAATCAAATTTCTAGACACACCGAATGCAAACCGTTTGTATTTTTTGTAAAACATAACTATTGATGTCAACATAAGAAAAATTATCACTCACAGTGTCACTGTTGCTATTCTCCGCAATTTCAGTACAATATTATGATTATGTAGCAATGGTTAGAAATGGAGTTTAGGGATGTTTAGAGACAGCACAGGTGGATAATTATGTGCTCGGACCAAGTGCTACCACATTTTTGATCGTATGTTTACGTGCCTGGGGACACTGCCCTATAGTCGTTGTTAAATTTTCCCTTTTGATGCTAATTGCACTTAAATCAGTTTAAAAAATATAGGATGTATGCATGTATCTATGTAGTAAAAACTACGTATTCTTCACTTAAATCTTTGCACAAATTATTTAGACACTTCTAACTGATATCAGCTGTGGACATTGGCGTTTAGCTTTCGGAGTTGGCCGAATTTTGCGCACTGGACTTGAGAATATGTGGATAAATGCTAATCTATTCCTTTTATTTATGTTTATTTTAGATAAAAGTGTACAAAAAGTTTTTAAAATATACATATTTGAAATATTTCATTTTATTTTCGATTTATTCCACAGTCAACTTTGTCGATTTAGGAGCTGCACGGTGAAGTCACAAATGAAAAAAGTTATCACTAAAATAGTATTGTTCAATTGAAAGCTTCCACGAGGATGCGTAGTGAATTGTCGCAGCTTTTATTTTTGAATATTTATTTACATATGTAAATACAATACAATACATATAATTGTATATATATGTATGTACTTACGTTGTTTTAGAACTTAACAATTTAGTTTTTGTGCACAAATTTGTTTACGTTTGGTCGCTACATGTTTGTTGTTGACCATAGCAACATGGTATGCAGGTTTCCTGGTGACCAGCAAATATACATATGTATAATACGTATATAAATGCGCTCTGATGTTGACCGGCTGCGAAATCAACTAGTCATACATTACTTTATAATCCTTAGCCCATTTTGTCTATTTGTCCACCGTCTTTTTTCTAAATAAGCTATTGGTAAAGTCTTCCGAGATTTAAAATCCGTTGCATTTATTATTATTGTTACATTATTTTATTCGTTGCAACATTGTGTAAGTATATGTACATATGTATGCATATGTAAATAGCTAGTTCTTAGTTAGTTTCCTTTAATTTTAGCTTAAGGAATAATAAATACCTCCATTAATTGAGCCACAGAATTTCGAATGTTGTGTTTCCAATGTTTGAAGTAAACACATAAATATAATAAAACACTTGGGCATCACCGAACCTATAGTATATAAAGGAGCTTTTCTAAAGGCATTAAAGGAGATGCAAAGATATTTATTTTAATTTTGATTGGTCAGTTTGAATGACAGCATATGCTAAAGTGGTCCGATCTGAACAATTCGGAGCTTGTAGCGATGCTGTGGACAATAATCCATGCCAAATTTGCCCCGTGTTAAGATTTTTTGGCAAATAAAAAAGTATTTCATACAAGGACTTGATTTTGATCGATCAGTTTGTATGACGGCTAAAAATATGCTATAGTGGTTCGATATCGACGGTTCCGACAAATGACCAGCTTCTTGGGAAGAAAAGGATGTATACAAAATTTCAGATCGATATCTCAAAAAAGACTAGTTCGCGTATATACAAACATACAGACGGACAGGCAGACTCACCTGTCTAAATAAACTTAACACGTCACTCTTATCAGTTACATATGTACATAAATACTTTAAAAGTTCCCCGACGTTTCGCGATTGTTAGAAATTTCGTGATAAACTTAATATACTCATAATGACTATTAATAAATCGTTCTATAACCAAGCTGATATTTTTCTGACTAGATTGATTTCATCAGTAAATTCTAAATGTAAAATAATCTATTTCCTTACCATAGAGATGTTTCACAGCGGGGTCATGCAAACATGAGAACACTGTTTTACAATCAAAGGATGCACGCATGTACATATATATTATATACTGTGTTTCTATACATACGTATATTGATGATCACTTTAATGAAAAAAACGAATTTAAAGAATTGTATGTGTATCGTATCGGGCGCCAATAGATATCCAATGGAAAACATAGAAACATATTTAGGCGATGAAAACCCTGGTTAAAATTGTATCTCCGTCTCAAATTGCATACACCGGGTTATAGCCTTTCTTACATATTTTTATTAATCTGGCACATTAAACTCGGGACTAATTTGCTGAGGAGTAATTTTAGGTATGTATGTATGTAAGTCAAATGTCGTCTTCTGTAGGATTCCACAGTGACGTAACAATTTCAAATTCTAAATCTTGCTCAAACTCACATATACATTATCAAAAACAGTTATGTAGATACAAAATTATACATATGTATGTAAATTAGGAGATATATGACGTCATTGGTGGAAATACCATTGAGCTTGTGATGACTGAATGCGTTCAAACATAAGTATGTATATAAACATAGCAGAAACATATGTATGTTAATAAATAGACAATCAGAAAAAGAGATAGCAATAAATAGCTTAGAGTTACAAAATCCTTCAGTTGTAATAGTAATTTCATACATGCACATATGTACATATATATTCTTGTATTATAAAAATGAGTTTGGCAACTTCTCAGCTGGTTGACTACTTGGTGAAATGAGTGTGGTTTATTTGCAATACAATGTTGAGTTTTGAAAAACATTAGGGTAAACCGATTAGTGGGGGAAACAGCGATTAAAATTGCTTGGACACTTTAATCATATATTTTTATATATTCTTGATTAATGGCTTTACCAACACTTTTAAAAATATAGAATTGAAAAATTATTTATTGTAAATGCCGCACTCTTATTGAAGGATTACCAAAGCTGCCTCCTCATCCGTCGAAAAATAGAAACATTTTTATGAGACATAATATCCTGTTGGCAAGCTAATGGAACCTCCTATCTTGTTCAGATATATCCATGCCTATTCGTTAAATGTACAAGAAAATAGAGGCATTCGCATTAACTTATGTACGTTTGGATATATGCGAGCTGTTTTCACCACAGCTCATATACATACAATAATATGTAAGTACTTTGTGTGCTAGGTAGTCAGCTGCGTGGTAGATAGGCAGACAGACAGACTCTCGATAAACAAGCGACTAGTTAAATTTCTTCTCACTAACTGTGAGTAGTCGATGTCGGTAAATTTTTGTACGGAGGGATTAAATAGTTTTCGTCTAAATCGTTCTCTCTTCTTGATTGATATTGTAAAGTTTACTAAATTGGGAGAATCTAATCAAAATAATAAATATATAGTTTTATAAATGGTGTTAAATTCATGCCTATGCATCCAAATATATTTGAATGTTTAAAGTGTGAAAGTATGGTGATAGAAGTTTGGAAACAATTGCTTTCATCATTTGTAGTTCTTTTTACTCGATGTATTTATATACACACATACGTGTGAATACGCATGCATGCATCTATAAAAGTTTATTAGAATTGTGGTACACTAATTTATACGTCGAAGGGAAAAGTGAAGGTACATATTTTAGGCAATGTCTGCCTATGTATTAGTTATAATAAAATTAACAAGAATTAATTGTGATTAAATAAAAGCAGCATTCACAAGTATTACCATTAATATACAAAAGAGGCGATTTCTCATAAACCAACAGCCACCCCCCGCAGCGTTCGAGAGTAAAGTGCAGAAGAATATAAATTAAAGACACAAAATATATATTCAAGTTAATAATAGTAAGAACATTGAAATATATAACTAACTAAATGTTGTAATAGTTAGAAAAGTGTTAAATGAGGCCAACAATCAAAACAGTCTCTTGAAGAAAACGTGAGTATTAATCTCTTAAATGTTTCACTGCGTATACATTTCACCGTTTATACAATATACTAACGAGTGAGCTTTTTTTGATTTTTCTGAACAAAACGAGCGTCGTTGATCAAATATTGATTCAAAAGCAAATAACAAATGCATGGGCTTACTCCCATTTAAAACAGTTAGGAGCGATATAATAGGGCACAAAAGTTATGCAGTGAAATATGTACACCACATTTCCTTTAAACAACTCATAAGCAATTGGTCCCATTGCAGCGGAGCTAGTATTATTTGTGCGAAGTCACTTTGCGAAAAATCGAATTAGGTAACATTAAAACCGACAGTCAGAAAGTGCAACAACAGCGGTTAAAGTGCGTTCACGCTGGGTGTAATATGAAGGAATTGGAATGTTTTATAGTATACGGCAATATGAAATCAGCTGACTGAAATGGAAGCGATTCGTTTATTGTGTATGTTTTCATGTATTCATGTATGTATGTATGTACTTTTATTTACAATGAAAAATGCTGTGCTGTTGTGGGGTAGGGCTGAGGTAATTAAATATAATAGTTCGGTTCTAATTGGCAATAAAATATTTTGAATTAGTTCGCATTGTTCAAATTGGATATTTATATTTTTGAACCTTCATCATTTACCTGTGTACTCGCTATTGTCGTTTATATTGTTTCCAAAACGATGCAGATTTGACGATTTTGAAAGTTTTCATTGCTTTAAAATCAACCTGATGACATCATTAATGCGTTTATGAATGTGTTTGTATATATCTACAATCATAAAAAACTAATGTCTACATAAAAAACTTGATAGATGTAGTATCTGTAACACCCACTTCTATCTCATATCAACCACCTTCGCATCTTGCTAAAAATGGATTGTAAAGTGCTTACTTTGTCATCACCACAGTATTTGTTAACTTCACCCTGAATAAAGTGAGTTTGTTTATGTCTACCATTATATTTGCCGTAGTTCGAAGCTCATTACGGCTATTCGTAATAATGTCCCAATGTGTGTGCAGATCCGGCTACAGTAAAGCCCCTGTCAAATATGGCAAATAGGCTATCTACTCCGAAGAGTGATTGCAGAAGGTGTCACACTATAGGTGTAAGGCCACATTCAAAAATGGTCTTTTTTCGAGAAACTGGTGTTCATACCTTGAAATACACTTATTTCATATTGGTGTGCAAGGAATGAAAATGAATGCGTGTAATTTGTTGTTAGAAAAATTTTAATTTGATAAAAACTATTACCAAAATATCAGAAAAAAATAAAACATTTTAGTAACATGGTGATCTCTTTTTCGTACTCTCGCAAAATAGCGCTACAGAGCATAATAGTTTTGTTCATTCAACGGTTGTTTGTGCAAGCGTTAACTTGAATAAAAATTGAGATAGCGTGATGAAACACATGTTATCTGTCATCATGAGGATTTTGGTATTGCAAATGGGCAGAATCTTAACGTTTCCACGCCCGCGAAATGGCGTTTATCGAAAACCTAAAAAGTGCAAAAGTGCTATAATTTGGTACATATCTAACAAACCACTAAGGCTATGTCAACCAAACTTGCAGAGAACAAGTCTTTCTACCACCTCTTCATATATTGTGAAATCAAATCATAACCACGCCCAAAACACATATAACGGTTATATTTTAAATAGTTGAAATTGGAGTACAACCATGCCTATTTCCCATATATCAAAATTTTTAAGTCTATATGATTATTGCACTTAACAGAATAAAAATCAAGCACCAGTTAAGTCATTGGAATCAAACTTAACACAAATAGTGTCACAAAGGTAAGCCATCTCACGTCCGAAAATCGGTAAGACTGGGAAAATACATCCCCTAGCCCCATATACTTTATATAAAGATTTTCGGGTTTTCGACATACCGCATATATCGGTCAATATGTGAGGTGTCTTAGGGAAATTAAGTATACACATAGTTAAATAATGAAAATATGTGAAATCGGTCCAACAAGCCGACTTTATTCCGCCCGCATATGTGAAACAGTGTGAGTTAAATGCACATAATTGTATAAGTCAAGCAGTGCAAAGTAAGTTTTCCTCCTTGGTTGAGCTTATATCACTTATACCTCATTTGAGTTAATTAAGTTGATTTTAATATAAATATTTCGGACACGACGCAAAATGTAGTAATAAAACATAAGTGAGTCTACGCTAAAATATACATGTTTATAAGATGCCAAATATGATTGTAATTCATTCAAGATTCTGTCGAATAATGTATGTTAAGCCCTAAGGCAACATTTGTATACTCTTGCAACATGTTGCTACAGAGTATTATATTATAGTTTTATTCACCTAACGTTTGTATCACCTAAAAATATTCGAGTTAGATGTAGGGTTATATATATGTATGTATGTAAATGATCAGGATGACAAGACGAGTTGAATTCCGAGTGACTGTCTGTTCGTCTCTCCGTCTGTCTGTCCGTGCGTCGGTGGCAGCGATACCTTGAGTAAAAGTTAAGATAACTTAATGAAACTTGGTACACATATTCCTTGGCACTAAAGGGGAGTTGTTATTGCAGATGTCCACAAAACTCCATTAATCGAAAACCTATAACGGGTATAACAAAGCTCCACAATAAGATACAAGATTGTTATTTGGACCAATGAATTGCATTAGAGAGGGGCATCTGCAGTTTAAAATATTTTGAAAAAGTGGCGTGGCCGGTACGTGACATTTTTTTGCCATTTCCCTGGACTACAATCATGTCTACTTCCCATTTAACACAATTTTAAATTCCGTCTAATTCTTTCACTTTGCAGCATGCAAATTAAGCACCAATGAATATATCGAAATAAAACTTTGCACGAATAGTGCCTTTAAGATGTGTCACCTTATGACCAGAAATTTTTAAAAATCGGGCTTCAACTGTTCAAGCCCCAGATACAGAATATGTGGATCCCAATTGCGAGCTGTTCGAAAATATTTTTCAATCTGTGAGATATATTATTAAAATTCGAAAAAAATCCTTTCCTGATAATAGCATGCCTCTATGCCAAAACTGGGTTGAATCGGATCAATGAATATATTTCTGCATAAGATACCTCATTATGATAAGGCTCAGAGATCATCTTTTTATGTTAATAAGATGTGACAATGCCAAAAATAGATAAAATCGAGTCAATACTACTACTGCTGTCTCCCATACAAGATCAGATGATTTCCACCTGATGTTAAATCGTTTAGGTTGTTCAAAATGTTTGATATATAATATTAAAGAAATTAAGTGAACAAGCTTTCTATAAATTACGTGGTTTAGCGCTGAATATGAATGAAATTGGTCTAGATCTTGGTCCAAACCTCATATTCATAATATTTATAATCATTTCCTATCTTCTGACCTGACACTACCTTACTTGTTTAAACATATATTTGTTCTTTCAATATTGTCAATAATTCCTCAAAGAAAGCTTGACGTTAAATGTCATTAAATATTTAGTTTAGGTGAATATCTCAGTATTCTTATTAATTGTTTTATAGACTGTTATTTAATAGTCTCCCACTTTTGAAGAATTTAAAAACCTGTTTACGTGTAACGAACAAAATTTTCGTATTATCGCCAAATATTTTACATTGTAACTAAAAAAGTTGATGCGTTAGAATTTTATACAATTGATGTAAAATTCTTGTCATGATTTTGAGATAACTTTCAAAAGCACTGCTTTACTTACAATTCTAAATGTATGAAAACCAATGATTTGATTATGCACTCATTCACTCATGCATTGCACTCACAACATGTTTCACGGAGTATAATAGTTTGTACCTAAAAACTAAATAGCGACCGTTTTTTCTTATGTCGCGTACATTGGTTCTTAAGTAATTTTGTGTAAGAGCTAAAAATTGATTTGATCGGTCGATATGTTCCCTTAACTCTATATATTTTCAAATAAAAATTTTACTATTATTGAAAATAATTCCCTGCTTTTAATCTTGAGACTATAAAATGTTCACCTTCACCCAGAATTAGCCTTTTATTACTTGTTGTAATTATATTTAATGAAAGCTTTTAGCACATAGATAAATTGGACGATTTAAAAAAAAGAAATTTAATTCCATTTATGCTTTTTAACACATTTGAAAACTAAAAGTGTATACTCCTATGTAAATTATATTGCAGTTTAAAAGTAAATCGTCTCAGACTATACCCTAATTGTATCATAAATGAGACAAATTCATAGTTAATTACACTCGAAAAGATGTTTCATAGACTAATTCATGTCATGTTTTAATAGAGAGAGCTGTACCTAAAGTTGATTGATGCTTTCAATAATAAATTGTTACAAAAGGCAGTAACTAACTGTAGAAACAATTTCATTACAACAATCAAATATATTCATACAGACATTTTTGTATTTAATATTATGTTTAAAAATTATTTGTCTTGCAGAAAGCCCAATAATAAATGTTGGATATACACCACGTGTGATATAAGATGCAAAGTAAACCTTATCTACAACACTGTATTAACTAGTAATAAGGCATATGATATAATTATCTTGTATTACATACACATGTAGAAAGGAAAGATATTCCAGTTTTCAGCCCTAATGACTCAGAGCTATTACTCCCAATCAATTGCATACTGTATAGAGCGAAACAAAATATGTTGCTTATAAGTGCGCTCGCGCTGGGTTTAGTGGACTCAACAAATTTCAATGCAGGCATTCATTTGGGCATATTTAATCTTGCGACAACGGCGGTGGCTGCAGCCACAACGGCGGTGATAAACACAGCTGTTGCAGAAGATAACGTGGACGCTGTGATAAGTGGCACAATGCCGATAATATCCACAGTTACTGGAGACACGGAAGACAGTCATGTTAAAGCTTTGACAACAGATGCTGTTAGTGGCACTTCAATAGCGCATACAACGACATCAGTTGGCAGTAGTGCGAGCAGTGGTACCATTACTTGGGATAACAATGGTACTCTTCGATCACTTAATCCAGGCGATTGGTCGATCGAACAATGTGTTATTTGGGAAAGGCCTCATCACCTATATTATCAACTGGGGAATGCCTTCTTTCTACTAGCATTCTTGGCACCGCATGGACTTTTTGGTGCATTGTGGCTGCGAGCACTGATTCTGGTCGGATGTACGCTGATGGCGATGTATGGCTACTTAGTAGAGTGTAAACCAGATGTAGTGATCTGGTCCGGACTATTTTTCATGGTCAATTTCATTTACCTAATTGTTGTGTTGTGTCGATTGCGACCTGTTCGATTCGACAAAGAAATTGAAGGGGTAAGTAAGATGGAGCGCTAACCATTTGGATTTATTAATTTAGTATGTACACAATAAGATATGGTTCAATTACGGACTTTTCGTTAACTTTCTAGGTATCACCCTGAAAATTTCAATATTTCCAAACACCCC